GGCTGACGTGCCGTGGTAAGAGTGCTGCCCGGGACATTGTCCAGTTCGTGCCCTTCTCGCAGTACAGAACGGTGAGCTTGATCGCTGTCATGCTATGTTTGTTTTGTTTTTACTTGTACGACACCCTCGTGCACAAACCCATCGCCGTGCAGCAGTGTTGCGGAATAGAAGGGAGAGGGAGAGAAAAGAGAGCGAACTCGTCCCTACATCCCCTGTGTCTTGTTTTGTGTTTGTCTCCACATGTCTCTTTGTAGGCCTGTGTTCCCAGTAAAAAATAAAAAATAAATAAAACTCGCTGTACCAGTATAGAGTGGAGATGAAGAGAAAGCACCAACAATGACGTACAGCTTTTTAATGATATGGGGGCCACGGATGGCAGCAGCTGTACAGGTGTGGTGCATGGTATGCTATGCTATCCTACGCTGGCTGCCCTGCATTGGCTGTATGCTATTGTGCACATACCGGTTTAGTGAAATCAACATCCGGTGCATGCTGAGAATTTACATGGATGTGCAAGAGAAATCATGTGGATTCATTGTTGTGTTTTTTGGAATGTCGTTGAGAGTCCGAAAGAGCATGGATCTTGGTAGCCATGCTTCTCCTCGTTTCGTTTTCTTTTTTTGTGTGTCGACACCTCGTGGCTGCATCTTTCTGTAAAGAATCATTTGTGTGCGTGCGCGCGTGGGTACGTGTGTGTGTGTGTGTGTGTGTGTGTTTGTGTGGGTGTGCACGCATGTGTGTGCACATGTGTGTGCGTGTGTACATGTATGTGTGTGTGTACATGTACGTGCATGTATGTGCATGTGTGTGTGCATGTATGTGTGTATGTGTGTGTATGTGTATGTGCTGGTAATGCTACCCCTGCATTGTGCACTGTCACCACCACAGCGACCACCAGAGCACCTAGCCAAGGACGTACTGGCTGAGGTGCCCACCCAGCTTGTACAGTACATGGCTCTGCATGAGTTTCCTATTGGAAGTCCCACTGCTGCTGCTGCTACTGCTCCACGTCAACCTTGAGGCGGTTGTGTGCTGCTTTTGAGATGCTCGCATTTACAGGTCAGTACATTCTTGAGCAGCTTTCTCCGTGAGGAATTGTAGAAGTTTCTGACACGTGCTAATGTTACTGCATATTCCGTACGCTTTTTGACTTCGTATTTTTCGTACGCCAAGGCTGCGTATGAATCTGAATTGCGTACAGTACTGTCGGGTGGCGAAGAACCGGGGGGGGGGGGGTGGCGAAGAACTGAGGGGGGGGGGGGGGGGAGGGGGGGCAGCCTCGTGGCCTACTACAGTGCTTTTTTTTCAAACCAGACATTTGTCGATTTTGATTTTTAGTTTGTTCTCATTCCAAATTTGAAATTTTTTCTTCGCAGCTGCGTTTGTGTGGGTCTTGGATCGAAGAAAATTGAGTTTGGGAATCGGAATAATAATAATTGTCAAAGTTAGATATTCGGCCGGGTTTTGGCTGAAAATCCGGTTTTAAATGGTTTTCAGTGGATTTTGATTTTAAAACAAAGGTTTAGCCAGGAAAGTTCATCACGTGCATGGTGCCCGCCAGAGTTCGAATCCAGTACAGTTCATCTTGATTCTTTTTTTTCTCTTCTTTTTCGGTACAGCGCATGCATGTAAGTGACTGTGCAGTTGTGCACTGCTGTCTGCAGTTCTCCTTACCTTTGTAGGAAACCAGTGAGTCGTGGCTTTTCACAACTTACTGTGGCAAGCTGTACTGAATAATTCGAATGCTGTATTGCTCAATAAATCAAAACATTCCAGCATGCATGTAGGAAACTTCCCTCGATCCCTGAAAGAATGCAGTGAAAATTCAAACACCACAACAAATCACAAGGGCAATTCACACAGCTCCCATAAAGAGACTAACAAAAAGGAAGCAATACATGAGCGGTTTTACAAACACACAAACACACAAACACACACAAACACACACACACACACACACACACACACACACACACACACACACAATACAAATAGGTCACAGTTGTGTCTGGTTCAACATCTGCGAATAGTAGAAAACCAGCGAGCGTCGAAACGGCCCCAATAATTCCGTGTTTTGTGTTGCACTTGTGACGACAGTATTACACAGTGAACAGATGTGCTAGGACAGCCGACGACGTATATCATCGTTGGCGTCGGCCTCGTCGGTCTCCATTCACGAACACATCGGCGCGGTTTTTCACGAATCCGTCCCGTCCATCAGTATGCAGAACAATAAAGCGCTTGCCTTTACCTGATGGTGCTTCATTTGGTTGCTTGCCTATACACTCCTGTCACCATTGTCGGACCACCTCCTAGTAACTGTGTGACGCGCATTGACCCACGTGTCATCCAGGTATGTCTCACAGGTAGCGATGCCGCCATGACACAATCCCGTGCCGTTCCATCATCATGTGTGTGATACCTCTGGTCTTGCCACACTGGAATCCCATGGAACGCAACATTTTCCAAGAGCTAGTTTTGCTCATGTCTGGAAAATCGTCGATGCTTTCTATGCAGCGAGCAGAAACTTTGTCCAGTGTTGGGTACTCCTTCGCAGCATAGAATCCGTAAATTACTTCTTATACAGTCCAAAGCAAATCCGTCAGGGTTGAGTGGTTTTATGGCACGAGTCCCACATCGGGGATTGTCACTCTCGTTACCTTCATCACTGGAGACAGACAAGGCCAACGCAGCACGCTGATTTTCGCCGTCAGCATCCCTGGTACATCTGTTCATGGTGGAAATGCTGACGCCACACGCAACAGCAGCATGACGAATGGAATACTTGGGACCAATTCGATGCCCAGCCATTGTTCTCCTCGTCTTCGCAAAATTGTAAAACGGACACCACCATGTACCATGGCCCGTTCGCGTTTTGTTCTATGTGGTATGTCGAGAGAACAAGTTAGTTGCCACGAACGAAAAGACACTCGAGAAAAAGCAAAATAGGGCTACAGAGCAGTCAGCAACAAAATGATTCCTCCATGCTCCAGCCACGAGGCAAGGAGCTCGAAAGACACTCTGAACAAAATGGCGAAATGCCACGAGTCACACCTGGTTTTTCGAATTTCGCGCGCAGATTTTCGTGACGCAACTCGCATGACATTTTCTCAAAAGTGTCCTTGAGTACGTTCTCAAGGTTTTCAGAGTCTATTAGAGAGGTTAAGATGCACGTTATTTCCGACGTGACGCGCAATTTCACGTCGAACTTGGCGTAAAACTCCAAATTTCGACGTGAGCAGCAGGTCGCTCGCGTTGATTTTTCGACGTGCGAGCAAATAACGCGAGCTGAACTTTCGCGTCACGTCGGAAATAACGTGCATCTTAACCTCTCTAATATAAATAAAACGCACTGTAGGCCGTTATTTTTTCATGTTCTGCACGGTCTATGCGCAATGGAGAAGCAGTATGTATATGGGTAATTTTCATACTTGGTGATATTCTGGCCGGATCGCTGCTCTCTTCGGCGCCCATCAGTACTGTATTAACCCAGTCTGTATGTAGTACAACCCGCTATTGTGGACGGTGCGTACGGACAACACTATCGTGCATATCAATGGGCTTTAGCCAAGAGTACGAGAGACCCAGAGTGTGCAGTTCGGATGGGTGGCTGTCACGGCGAAATTCCGTGATCACATCATTTTAGTGATGTAGTGCATACGAGCAGGATTCAAGCAGGTCCCTTTCTGCACAACTGCAGCTCAGTTGTACGCACTACGCCATTTCCCGCCTCAGATCTGCACCAAAGTTGATGTAATCCCGGAATTTCGCCGTGCCAGACACCCATGCAGAAACGTCAGATCCTGCATACTCTAGGTTTCATCTACTCTTGTCTTCGATGCCTCTTTTACGGGCAAAAGAAGCACAATGGATGAAAACGCAATACACATTTAATGCAAACCCAGAAAACCATCTACTCTTGGTTTTAGATGAAAACGTTAGGAATGTTTCGCATACGAACTATTCTTGATTTACTGTACTCCCCATCCACTTGCACTTACACATGCCCATCGTGGAAGCAATGATAGCGAACAAGCTAAACACAGCAACTTGTGCTGGGATTGCACCATTCAACAATTTGCAAGGCTGACGAATTGACCGCCACTAATTTTAGCCTGGTCTTCACCACACAGCTGATTGAAATGGCTTTTTCTGGCCAGTGAATCCCCCCACCACCACCACACGCACACACTCACTTACACACGCACAGACAAACACACACATCTGTGTATACATTTTGCCTTGTCGCTGACCATTACTAATCCACTAGTCCAGATCGCACAGTATCAGTCCGTGCTACATGTGTGTGTGTGTGTGTGTGTGTGTGTGTGTGTGTGTGTGTGTGTGTGTGTGTGTGTGTGTGTGTGTGTGTGCGGGTGCGTGTGCGTGTGTTCGGTCTTTCCTCTGCCCCTCCACCATTAGATACATCCTTTTTTCCGTGAAGCATACAGAGTGGCGGTATCGTTAAGGTTGCACCGCGCAAGCCGTATCAAGGGACAAGTCTGACCCCTCCGCGATGTCCCCATTGATGAACATCATTGCCGTAGTCATCCGAAATGATCCCAGTGCTCATCTCTACGGTTCTATGTTCTCTTCTTGTAGCCGTCCAGCTAGTGCTGGTCGCGCTGTCATGGGTGAGCTCAACTTTGTTCTGCGACAGTCGATCGAATCAAAGTTATATTCGTCAAGATGCCAGCAGTGGCCTTTCTCATAGTGACAGGATTCTTTTTTTTATTTTCTCCTTTACCCTGGGTCTCTCTCTCTCTCTCTCTCTCTCTCTCTGTCTCTCTCTCTCTCTGTCTCTCTCTCTCTCTCTCTCTCTCTCTCTCTCTCTCTCTCTCTCTCTCTCTCTCTCTCTCTTTTGAATTGCTCCTTTCCTCAATTTCTCCATGGAATCTCCGAAGGTAGAGTGGAGAGTGAAGGTGTAGATTTTCATAAGCTTATCCTGTGTGACGCCTGTGCGATTTTAGAAGGTTGATTTATCGTATTTTATCTATGGTTGCAGATTTTCTTACTGTCTCTTCTTGTAGCTGGAATACATGTACTTGTATCTGACTGTTTTCAAGCCTAGAAATCACACGCGAGAGTGTATTCGCTGTCTTATAGCCGTGTAGAAACGTTTAGACGTTCTTGGCAAGCACCGCTTGTCTTCGCTTCTCCACAAAGCCGGGCGTTGCAACCGTACATGCTTTTTTCTACTTGTTTAGAAATTTTTTAAAGTTATGATTCACTTTGGCCATTTTGTAGTAGCATTTGGTCAGAGGTTTAGGGTGGATTGCCGACTTAGGGTTAAGAGCTTTTTTTCTTTCTCTGTTTTCCCTCCTCCTTGTTCGTACCATGTTATCTCTCCCGTTTTCTCTGTCTCTTTCATTCTCTCTCTCTCTCTCTCTCTCTCTCTCTTCTTGTCCTTTCTTCTTCTTCTTTTTCTGCCACGATATGAAGTTTGCTTGTCTTACTTCAAAATCTCTTGCTAAATGCTAAGCAGAGGCTGCGCTGTAGCCAATTATTAGTTTGCTTCAGGACTGGTGACAGGGTCCGTTTTAGCTTGCAGAACATGAACGCAAACAAACTTTAGTTTTTGCATTTCAAAAGTGCAAATTTATGTACGTGTGTTGCTGTCCGGTGTCATTCTGCCCTGCCTCCTGTCTCGCTTCGTGCCTTCTAGTGGGAGCAGTGGCACGTCTGATTCGCTAGAATATACTTTGTGTTGTATGCGATAGCTGTATAGATGCTGTAAGTCTATCGTACAAATGCTCCACGACTCTGAAGTAGTTGTAACACGGGAGAAGTGACCCATGGTTGTAAGGGTCTTGGTTGTAGCAGCTGTATGCCGTGAGCCGAATATACCCGTACAATCATGATTGCACAACGCACGAATACCGCATGCATGCGTATACACACACACACACACACACACACACACACACACACACACACACACACACACACTCTCTGTCTCTCTCTCTCTCTGTCTCTCTCGGCTCTCTCACACACGCGCGCACGCACATTTTGCTTTTAGAAAATGAATGATCTTCGTCCTTCGAGCTCTATCCGAGGACGTCCAACTACCAGGGAGTATTACATTTTTACTACATGTACTCCCAGGAGTATCTTACTTTTCCCTGGTCATCATTGAGTATAATTATGAAGGATTCCAGTCCTGCAGTCTTCAGTGGTCTTGTGACTCTTGTGCCTGTCCCGGACTCCCTAGTCCGGGTCCATCGAAATAGTCAGCCGGATCACAAGCACACTGGCAGGTCGCGTGCCGTAATCTGTCACGGTGTCAGCTGACTGTAAACATGGCAGGAGATCGCGAGGTCTGAAGTGAAGCTGTGAAAGCGATGCGGCAAAGTGCTGGACTTGTCAGCCAACGTTCACCAACATCAGATCGTAGTCAACCATCGTCCCATAGATCCGAGGCGAGGGTAGATCAACTGTTTGGACAGGTCAGGAATTTTCGCTTTGGCCGCTGCGAAGGAGGAGTCGATTACACTATGAAACGGCTTAGGCGACAACAATGTCAGGCTAACATTGCCGGTGTAATGGGAAGTACCTCCTCAGTGGTGTCTGTATCGTCTGATTGCTTTGTGGCGAGAGCTGCCCGTGGAATTTAATTGTCCGAGCTGAACCGATGCTAGCGACCACTACACGCAACGTCAAGAGTAGCGCATCGTGATGAGAACCAACTACAAATTTGCGTAGCCATATCGCCAGTTTATTCTTACTTTTCAGCCCAGTATCGTGTAGTTTGTTCTTGAGCTTTCTCAGTCTGATTTACCCTGTTCGCTGGTAGCATGAGCACCAGAAGTGCCTATCGCACCAGCTCTTCACGTGCTCAGCAGCAGAAGCAGCAGCAGCAACGGCAGGCAGACGAGAGCATACATGAACTGAACGTATCCAGGACCCGAGTGAAATCCGCATTCGGCAGACTGAACACGCCGCCTCGTGAGCAGGCAAGTTGTGATATCACGTGTCCCTTTGCGTGTGCGTGAATGCGTGTGTGTGTGTGTGTGTGTGTGTGTATGTGTGCGTGTGTGTGTGTGTCTGAATGCACTGGTTACCCCAGCAAGTGGAGGGTGTGAATAGGTAACTGTCTTGGCCATTTTATACCGATGTGCTCCGTGTGGTGTAGACCAGGTGTGCATTGGTGGCCGATTCACATGGCTTCGCCAGTTGTGTGGATTAGACAGTTATCTGGCGCAAGTCTTGATCTGTCTCATTTGTGGGTGCACATCCAGTGCATTTGCAGATTTGCGTGCTTCTCTTGCGACGGGCGTATACATGGTACATACATGGTGTGAATGCATGTGTGTATACATGCATACACACATGCATGCTTCTAACAAGAGGTCAAAACAATGGAGAATGTGCACAGTCACTAACCTCCACACCGAACCGTCTCCCCACAAGGGCCATCCGGCTTTATCGATAATTTTCATGGAACGAAAACGTTTGGTTATGACCCCCACCCCTAAAACGAAAATAGATCGGCTTGACGGGTAGAATGGATTAATGTGATGTTCATCTATCATTATTTTTCAAAACGAAACTCTCCTCGATCGACTCACCCACCCGTAAACGAAACTTTTTCGTTTGGCGTAAGAGATTGAAAGCCTTGTGAAAACATGCTATGCACTGCCGGGTTTACCGGGTGTTAGCTGCCGTCATGAGTTCCCTTCAGGAATGGGCATGGTAATCTACCCTTTTTAAAGTTTTTATGCATTGCTTCAGTGACTACCATCCTCAGGGTGTGCAGACTCTACTGGAGTCACTTCAGATTGGCCTGGCCCGGAAATTTAGATTTATTGGACCATTTGGGGGGGGGGGGGGGGCAGTGGTGTGTAATCGTGCTTCGGTGACTGTGTGGGTGAATGAATGATGGTTTGTATCGTCATGCATACACGTACAGAAACCTCCACAGTCCACACCGATTTGTCTGCCCATAACCTTATAAAAACTGCCATGCACGGCTTCAGTGCCTGTGTGGGCAAATGAATGATGGTTTGTATTGTCATGCTCACACATGCACAGGTTCTGCCGGAGTTCCGCAGTGTACGCCGCGCTCAGTCGGCCAACTCCACGCGTAGTACGACAGGAAGTCTGTCGTTCAGCAAGCAACAGCCAAGCACGCACCAAGAGCGTAAGGAGCAAGAGTAATGGTGTGAAGTTGTTGGATCGGGGATTAGCCAGGGATATCGGACCCGGTGTACATGTACAGCGGGACGTTGCACCCATGGCATGGGTGAATATACATCAGGGGCGTCGCACACGGTACGGTAACTACGGTATTGACCGTACCACTTTTTGCCCCAGATACCCCCGTGAATCAACAAAATACACTGATCTGGGAAATTTTCGGCTCAGCCACCACTCCCCCACAAGTAAATTGTACTTCAGATGGCTGACCATACCACACTAGAATACCTTCCCACATTGCCCCTTTGCATGTGCATAGGAGAGGGAACTGCGTCTCTGAGTTTTATCAGACACTCTTACTGTAGCTCTATGACTTGGTGTGGGAATTACATAGAACTGTCCAGCCCAGCGTCGACATGCACATCGTTTCAGGTGCTGTCAACCCGGTGAACAACAGTGTCTGTTATAGCAACAACTCGCAAATAGCGATACATTCCTCAAACCAAGTGACCATTAGAGACTGTTACCAGTATTTTCAGCTCACGAATGACGACTCTTTCCTCGGACACAATCTCGGGTCATTGTTTGCAAGGTCCACTGCACCATGATCTCATGATCATCTCTCTACTAGTGCACAGCGGATGTGCTACAACTCGCTGTGTACACCCAACTCTACCACTAAGTTACTGGCTGGAATCGAGGAGCGTGTACCAATACCTCTTCCTCGTTGTTGCTCAACCCTCTCTTGAAAGTGTACTTGCATGACATCAAGAGTGCATAACAAAGAGTGTGCAACTCCTATCTCCAGCTGTGATTGGTTCACCCACAGCGGAATGTTTTTATTGCGTCAATCTTTGGCAGAAGTATGATCAAGTGCGTATGCTTTCCCGTGCTTGTTTTGTAGATACGGTTAGAGTTCATCAGGTTCAGGACACATCGCTCCATCGTCCGTTGTTCCGCTTCGACTACCGTGACTGTGATGTGGAAATTCTTTGCACTTGGATCTCCGGCTACGCATGATGGCATCAGTGAGCCAAACCGCCGCCAAAGCCTGATGTCATAAAAAAATTCCGCCATGGGCTGGGGGATCATCGAGTTGCACACTCTTGGTTATGTGCTCTTGATGCCATGATGTCATTGTTGTGTGTTTGCCATGATGTCATTGTTTTGTGTTTGCCATGATGTCATTGTTGTGTGTTTGCCATACTCCAGCCTCTCAGACCATGTACGGTCACCACTACGATGGATCTTTCTCACCCAGGGCACCGCTACGACCACACTCACCAACGCGCCGCAATAACCCACATCCTGCAAAGGTTAGAAGCTTGTTGGTCGTTGTCACCTCGCTAACTGAAGTACTTTTGAAGAGAATATATGCAGGGGCATCGGAAGGTATTTTAGTGTGGTACGGTCAGCCATCTGAAGTACAATTTACTCGTGGGGGAGGGGTGGCTGAGCCGAATTTTGGAAATTTAGATCCGAGATCAATGTATTTTATTGATTCACAGAGTAGAGGAGACGGTTTCAAATAGGACATAGGTTGCAAACCGGAACGGTCTAAATATTCACTTTCTCTCTTGGTATTTTGATTAGAAAACGTATGTCACAGTGAGACTACGATGTGTTTTACTCAGCGCCAAAATGCCATGGCTCTGCGATGACCAGAAGTGCCATACCAAGCATTTGAGTTTCTTCCCACTGCGACTTGAGTTTTACGTCTTTTGAAAAATCAACTTCTTGTCGCAGGTAAACAGCGGCTCGCCTCTCGCCAATAAAGAACCGCATACCAATGAAAACTAATGGAAGCACACACAAGGCTTATTGGTGCTCTGTACTGGCTTTCGTGGAACCATAGCAATTACCTAATTTCAGACCCAGAGTGAACTTGACGGGCCCTCTAAAACGTGTCCGGTTTGGAGCCACCTCTGTAAACACCAAAAATTGAGGGCAACTTGGAGGCAACGGGCCAACACAAAGGAGGGGCTCAGATCGATCGACTCTGGCCTCAAAGCAAACTTCAACATGCCAGCTTCCTTCCACAAACATTATTCCGAGTGAACAATCCATACTGATGATCGGATTGGGTCTACACAATTTTGCTGTCAACCCGTTCCGGTATCGAGCCGTCGCCTCTACCTGGGGCAAAAAGTGGTACGGTCAATACCGTAGTGACCGTACCATGTCCGACACCCCTGACATGCGGCTGGGCGTCCACAAAAAAAAAAAAATTCACGGTTCGCGTGAGACTCGGCCAAAGGCCCAGTTTTCCGCATCCGCAGGAACGCCACCACCCTCTTGGATCAAGGCGCAGATGCAGCTCCTGAGCGGTGGGAGGTGAGTAGATCAGACCCACCACAAAGTGGTCCATTCCATTTTGGCCGTACACATATACAGTTAAAAGGATGTAATCGAAACTAGTGCAGGTCACCAGCTTTGCACTTCAGCTCGGATTTCACCGAGCGCAACAGTAGGTTTGGGTTGTTTTCATGTGGTTTTCGTGTGATTTTCACAGAGTTTTATGGCATGGCGAGTGCCGAGTAATCCTGAAAAGACGCAAGACAGCGAGTTGCTACAGGAGACGACAAAGCTGCTGCGCCGCGACTCACAGGAGCGCTTCTACCAGGACTACCGCGGCGAAGGCCGGTCTCCAGGTAAGTCACGGTTGCTTAGCGCTGTGCTCGTGTTAACAACTGTCAAGCCCTGGTGTACACTCATCAACCTTAGATCTGTGCAGGGTGGTGGCGTTCCTACAGATGCTGAAAACTCAGTCTAACTGAGTCTCAGGCGAACTGTGATTTTGTTTTGTTTTTGTACTCACCCAGGCTGGCTACAATTCAGTTCCATTGGTTGGTGCTGGTCGCATTTTTCTGTGTGAAAGTGCAAAGGGATTCACACTGTTCATACCCCAAATCATTTCCCCCCGGACTCAATGCATGACACACTATAAGAAGGCCCCAGGCAATGTGCAATTGGGCATGTAATGGTCCAGTTCCACAAAGGCAGACATTGACCTAGCCGGCTGTCTCTGTTCTCTTCTGCCTAGCTGTGGTATTGCTCCATCCTTGTGGTGTTGAGCACTCTGGGCAATCTGGGAACTCTCGCTATTGTAATAATCCAGTTCAGCACATGTACCATACAATCCAATAGCGGCTATTGCACAGTTCCAATCGCATCACCCCGTTTCTTCATGTTCTCCCCACACAGCTACACAGGACGCCATACTCACACGTCTGGCCAACGCGCCACCGCCCATGCCCGACACCAGCTCGTCCATATACGGCAAGCATGACGCATCCTGCTTCAGCTCGCGGCGTCCTTCGCGTACGTAACTGCTGCATCGTGTGACCGACCGCCTGTACTGAAGATATTTGCACTGCAGACTGTAATGTCTCACACAGTTATAAACCACTACCGAAAACGGTCTCTCTGTGTGAAACATGAAGTGGCTACAGTGGAGTCTGCACACCCGTACTAAGTTAGGAAGGTGTTTGCAGACTGTAATGAACTGGAATTAAAGCATTTAACCCTGTGTTATGTTAGGATGGTTTCAACCGTTTCATTTCTGGAACTTTGTCACATGACAGATATACACGCAGCGGAATGCACGTTTGTTTAACTTGCCTCCCGTTTTCTCTGCTGCTCCGTATCCATACGTGCTGCAATGGTCCTTTGATTCTAGACATAGAGCGTGCAATGATGTATGTAAGAATGCCATCGTTCCCTCCTCACCTCTCCTGTCTTCTTTGTGTGTAATGCTACAGTCGATGGGATTCCGGGCGGAACACGAGGGCAAGCCAGCCGATCACGACACTTATCCCCGACAGGCACAAGTACCGGCATGCCGCATCATCACGGCAGATCTCTGAGCGAAACTGATGCTCAGCCGGGGAAAATGTCGCTGAAACAGCCCGTGAATAACAGGTTAGTGTCACGTAGATGACAGGCGCCGAGCACGTAGCTTGTGTAATTGTTATAGTCAGCGTAGTCCAGGCACCACACCAGCAAATCGCCGTCATACGTACAACATACCGGTACTCAGCTTAGGCGAAATGGCGGCTACGAGGTTGCCGGTGGTATATGGTCACCACACCACAGATTTGGTCTGGTACATGGTCACCACACCACAGATGTACTAGCTACAACAGCAGTGGAAACTTCAAAGTGAACGCTGGCTCCAATTTTCACATGGTGCAGACTGCATGGTGAATGTCTTGCGCAGCTCGAGCAACGCCATGTGTGCTTGTACTAAATCATGTAACGTCGCGCATGTGCTGCATTCAGTGACGGTTGACCTGCAGTACTTTCCGAGGTCAGAACTGCTCTGGGTTATAAGCCCCCTCCCTTTCCCCTGCCTCTTCCCGAGCCTCTTCCCTTTCCCTCCTCCCCCCCCCCCCTTTCATTTTCCCTCCTTCCTGACTGTCCTGGGACTAAATGTTGGCTTTCAGTTGGTAATGCTTGTATGAAAACAGAAACCTTTGAGGAATTTGGGACTGCTCGGTGAAATGGACATAATGGGGATGGCATGCATAGACAGAAGACCTCTGGCATGATGATGTGTGTGTGTGTGTGTGTGTGTGTGTGTGTGTGTGTGTGTGTTTGTGTGGGTATGTGCGTATGTGCATACAGACATCGCACGGCAACCGAGCCAGTGCAGCACACGGTCTGGAAGGAGCCCGAGATCTGGCATCACAGGTCTGTGCGTGATCACACGCCGCAAGTCATACACCGCACATCGGTGTTCGCTGCCCCCAAGACAGGCCGTGGAACTCACTTTACCATTCACCCAGAGTGGCCTGACCTTGACTAACACAGACCAGGTGTACTGGCATTGCCATGCACATGGACTACTTTGAAGCAGTAAGAGTACGTTAGATTGCTGTGCAGTCTCTTGCACCACGTACATGTTCTCTGTCATGTGCTTTCCATTAGGGAGTAGTAAAATACTGGTATTTTACTACTCCTGCTTTGTACGGCACCGCCTGCATGATTGGAGCAGGATTGCCCGAGTGTGCATTCCATGAATGCAATGGTATGTGTATGTGGCAGTGTACATACTAGCGTGAAGCGGTGCTTTGTTGACTGAAGACTGAAGAGCAATGTTTGCGTGCAGCGCAGCGCATGTACACGCACACAACAATAATATCTTCCATTCAGTTTGCTCCCCGTTTTTGCCCTATTTCTAGAAACAGGGCCGTGCCCCACACTTCACAAGCATAGGATGCGAATACCACGTTTGAAGTACACTACGCGTACAGCTGTGTATTCTGTTGCCATGCTCTCATTTAGAACTGACGCTATGCTGAGCCTCGGATAGGGCAAGAACTCTGCGTACGGCTAACTTCTATTTACTTTTTCTAAACACTAGGGAAGTTTCGCGTTTCAACACTATTGTATTGCCAGCGGTAACGCGGATGTGAGAACTTCACTTTACCTTGTGCACTAGAGAAGACTCGATCATGCAATATTTTCTTCTTTTTTTCTTTTTCTTCCAGTGGCGGATCCAGGAGGGGTTCCAGGGGTTCTGCGGACTACCTAAATTTCGTAAATGTACTACTGGCAACCATATGCGTGTACGTGTACATGTATCAGCTATTCAGTTTTGACTATACTGGAACCCCCCCTGTAAAGATCGCTGGATCCGCCGCTGCCTTCTTCTTCTTTTAGGATCAACTCGCTGCCGTTATCAATCATAATCTGAATGTTGCATTGTGTCATTGATCAGAGGCCGTGCCGTTCGCCTTCTTTTGCTATAATTTCCGCCAACACCACAGCTAGCCATAGCTCCTCAGTGTCTGCTCCAGCGCCGGGTGAGCCGGGTAATCCACCCGGTTGGGCGGCGCTTGGATCCGGTTGAAAATATACTACCGGGTCACCTGTGACCCGGTTGGTACTTTACACTCGAACTTTGAAAGGACTGACTTATCAGACTACATGGCTTGTATCAAGAGTACATCATAGTAACGGGGGGTTATGTACTCTTGCTGGTATGTGTCAGATACTTCTTCTTCTTTCGTAATTTTCTAATTCCTGTCCTCTCTTTTCTAAATGCGGCTTATCCATTCGCCTTTACATGTACATTGGGCCTAGTTCCCGTTTATTGTCCGAATTAAAATAAACCAACCAACCAGTTAAAGCATGTGACTCGGCTGGTGAGACAGCGCCAGGTACATGTGTACCCGGCTCCGACCTGGTTGCGCCAGGTACACGTGTACCCGGCTGTCCTACAATCCTAGAGCAGACACTGCTCCTCATTTCTTTGTTCTATCGGTAGGAGACGAAAGCCGGCTGTGCTTATATAAATTTGACACTTTCCATCAGTTTAGAAAACTAAGGCTGTATGTTTTAAAAGTCATCTACTGTATTTCTCATCTCTTGATCTGCAAGTGCCATCTCCCAATTATGTGTTATGTGTTGAGGCTTGGGGGTGTAGCTCTGTGGTTTCTGTTGTGCACTGTCGGGGACATTGAAATCCGATGGGATGACCGGGGTCGACGCCCTTACTGCTTTTAGCGCTTTGGTACATGCATAATATGTACATGTGCAGTAAATCCTGTACTTGAACTAAAGACCACGGTGACTAGCGACCAGCCTGGTACTACAGACCACTTCGCCAGGCACGGACAGTCTCACATTATGGTTGTGCGGTGCAAACCTCTACCTAAGGACCGCCGGCCACTAAAGACCGCGTTCCCTGGCGCCAAGGGGTGGTCGTTAGTTACAGGTTTTCCTGTACAATGTAGTTCACATACATGTGCACTGTAAAAATGGACCACTAGATGGACCACTAGATGGACCACTAGATGGAGCACGGCTGCTAGGCCAGTACCCCATGGCCGCTTGACTTCCCAACGGATTTCAATGTCTGCTACAGTTCCTGACTCAGTGCTTACAGTGGACGCTGTCGGGACTGGGATGGTCTGTTCTGCACTTCCTTATCGCCTTTGCCTCCAGCCACCATATGGCCCAGGGGCGCAGCTGCCCCCTTTTTTGGGGGGGGGAGGGGCGGGTGCACGGCCGCATATTTGTAGGATGGCTGGTGCTTGTCATTCAAGGTTTTATGCATGCTGAGCATAACCTTTGTAGGTCGAATTTTTTAGGGGGGGGGGGGGGGGGGAGGGGTGCATATTCCCCATGCGGGCTACGCATCTGTGGCCCGTGGCCCGGTGCCATGTAAACCTATGTGATACTACAATAGTAATCGGTGTCGTCTGCTACATGTACATATACGTATTCATGGTGTGATCTTCGAACAAAATGCTATCTCATCTTCGGAAAGCCAAACGGCCCGGCCCGCCCAGTACTCCAACAGGCCCTCGCTACGAATACTGGAATAGGAGAGGTGATAAGGGGAGGTGGACGTCGGCAGTGCCGTGTAGCACTGGGATTTCCTGAGGCGGTCGGGACCAGGGAGTAGTACAATCGTATTGTACTACTCCCTGGTCCGGACAAATGCAGTACAAGTACTTGACCAGAAATGGACACTACTGCGAAAGCCGGACTCACCGGATGCTAGGGCCCTGGTGGAGGATGATATCGGAGCTTTTCCCCATGTCATGATCATGATGATCGCCATGCATGGCATATAGGCATTTTTTATCTACTGCACGCTAGCGTCCATCTACGCCTGCCAGAAAAGCGATTCTGTCAGCATTTGAGAAATTGTGTTGAATATTGGGTTGCATCGTGCTTGCTCTTTATCGGTATTGTCTCTTGTAGTGTTGGCTTTGATTTCTTCTTTGATGATTGGACCCTTCAACTTGCTTGTGTGCTTTGCCAATACAATGTACTTTACTAATAATGGTACTACAAACATAAGGTCACTGAGTCTGTGCTCGTACAATTACAATGTTCTGGTACTGACGTCGACACACTAGTACACTTGACTCGTACACACATACACACTGGTACATGTACCATGGAGCATGTACGCACAAAAACAAACATTTCAACTTCCTGGCCAAGCTCATTCTGTGACACCCTTCATTTCCTTGCTTGCTCGTAGGGTTTTGAAAGAAATGGCAGGACCTCTTTGTCCAGTCTTTACTCGTACATGATCAGAGTGTTTGGCTGGGGAGCCCACCACGGCTGAGCCACCATCAGGCTTTTTGAAACGGTGTGCAAGGCATCGACTACGGAAAATGTGGGTGCCGAGTTTTCTCCGTCGCGAGTCGACAGTCGGGTCCAAAGGTTAGTTAGTTATTGTGACGCTTTAGGCATTGTCTTCCCTTACGGAGCTTGCATGCGCATATGCAGCAGGACGTGGACAGACACAGACAGACAGCTTGTTGAGTGGGCTCTGTGGCTGCAGCTGTTGGGGCATTTTACCGATGGCGCTCATTTGAGTGGCAGTGCGCAAGACTGTTGAATGATAGTCCACCCGGACAGCAATGCCAGTCGAAATGCCATCAAGCGTACTCTGGTTGGCACTGCTTGTAAAAATATAAATAGTAACTCAAAACTGGAGACGTCGACAGCTAGCTCAGGCTAACAAAACATGTCCGACCCCGTGGAGATCACAGGTTGTTTACACTTACCTTTCTGATTGTACCGTGGTATATGTACTGCATGCAGTTGGTGGAGCGTTTCTCAATTATTATTATTTTCAGCCACATGTTATAAACTGAGTATCGTTGTAACTTGTTGTAGTTATTGGTTGGTTCCGGGAGTCATCCGGTGCTGGGCCTCTTGCAACCACTCCCCGCGCATTGCGATTATGTGAACCAGTGCAGTGCAGTCGTAATAAAATCATAAAATTATAAATTATCGCAAGGGGCAGCCGGCAAAGTTGGGCAATGCCCAACTCTTGCGATCTGCCCCGGCACCGATCCTGTACAATTTTGACCAAAAGTGGTTTGTGAACGGTTCGCGCCGGTGACCGCCGGTGCCGGGAGCCAGACTTTGTCGAAATTTCAAACCAAGACTCATCCTAAATTTTCCTTAATCGAAGCTAAAGATGAGGTCCGTTCGCCATTCTTGTAGTCGCTTCAAGGTGGCAAATTAAGTCAGCATACCAACCCGTCCTTCTCGGATGATCTGCTTGACTGTTGTGAACTTATGAGACAAATACAATTGAAACAAATACAAAATACGAAGGATATATTGGCAGGTTCTTGTGACTTCATCAACGTTTGCATGCATAATTTCGACACCATTGCTTACTAGACTGCAATAAAAGGTGTAGAAGGAGTTTCATGCTCTCCAGTAATAGGTAGCACCGAGTGGCCATCACCGAAAGACCTTGAACTCAGTACTGAAGAAGGAAAGAATTCAAGCTTCAATGGGCAAACCTGTCATAGCATTTGGACACATTCTGTACTACTTTGTAGTAGATTTGGTACTCGAACTGTATGCGGAACGGATCGGGAGCTGGCTCACTGCCGGTGCTTCCCGGCGCCGATATTGCTTATGTGAACCGACCCTAAACTCAGGGCATGCAATGCATGCGTTCAATTCAGGCGGAAGTGGGGGTACAGGGTGGGTGAGGAACGTTGGGGCAATGAGCTCTTAGTAGGCAGCAAAGTGCGTACATGACAGCATCAATTCAATTCAACACAGTCAAATGCAGGGTTTTAGCCTGGAAACAATATTAGGGGGTAACCGGTGGGAGCAGGGGAAACAAAACAAATTATCCATCCCAATGCTGCCTTGTGACACACTGTAGAGGTTGTGTGCAATGAAGTCTCGTAGTGTACGACGGATGAGGCAACCACGGAAAAGACTACGAAAATCGGTTGATTCAGAGGTTTCGCAACCTCGAAATGGTCAGGTCAAGTTTTGTGGAGTACGGGAATTAGGTCTAGAAAGTCAGGAGTGCACGCACTGAGAGTACAACAGTATGCAGGTGGTGCACATTACTGCATGGCAGTACGGTGATTGCAACGATAGTAATTTTCGTTGTTCAGCTCCTTCAGTTCCGTCGAGAGTTAATTAAATGCGTACACTGGCAGGCCAGGCCGTGACGGCCGAATCTCACGAATTTCCGTTGTGCGAAACCTGTCTAACATGCAACAGACGAGCACAGTGCGCAACCGGAACGATCGACGATCACCGCATTTCCTTGTGTGATCTGATAATTTGAGTGATAAACACATGCATGGATCATACTTTCCGGAGTATAAGCCGCGCTGGAGTATAAGCCGCACCCAGATTTTTTGTCACAAAGCACAGACACCACCTACCTTGCCTATCACCGTTGATTTGACCATCGTAGCATTAGTCGTACTGACTTTTTTGGGCGAATTGCTGGTGTTTTTTTTAAAGTGCGGCTTGTACTCTGCTGGTGAGCTGATCTACTCACCTCCCACCGCTTTAGGAGCTGCATCTGCGCCTTGATCCTTGAAGGGTGGTGGCGTTCCTACGGATGCGGAAAACTCGGCCTCTATATAGAGAAACCGAGTCTCACGCGAACCGTGAATTTTTTTGTACTCTGGAAATACTGTAATGGAAAATAATGAGCAAGGGGCTACACTTTTTCACAATGGTTGCACCGTCTGAGTAGGGAAAGTGCTGCCTCCCCCTCCCCCCCCCCCCTTCCACCCCCTTCCCCTCTCCCTAGGGGTGCACAATCAGAGTAGGGAAGGTGCTGCCCCCTCCCTTCCATCCCCCTTTGGCTAGGACCCAACGGTTCCAATGATCCGTGGATAGTAACTGTTAGTCCTTCCCAGAGTACGCACCATGCCGGCCGTCTGACACACAGAGTACGAACCATGCCCGTCTGACACCCAGAGTACGAACCATGCCCATCTGACACACAGTCAGGCCGCAGCTACATTGGATTGACACTCATTCCAGCGGCAGAAGTCGGCCTTACGGATGGACTCCTTGCCAAACAGGTCTGGCCGATTCTGATTCCTTCGCTCCATGAGAGAGAGAGAGAGAGTGTGTGTGTGTGTGTGTGTGTTTGTGTGTGTGTGTGTGTGTTTGTGAGTGTGCATGCTGGCGCGTTACAATATGCACACGTTTGTGCACTGCCTGCGCATTCAGTGTGTTGAGTACATACATCCACGGTATGTGGAGCAGTTACCGCATATTTATACATCCACCCACCGTCTGGAGATTTGGAGGGAGAGAGAGAGGGGGGGGGGGGGCTTTAAATGGTTGAATTGCCAGTTTGATCATCTTTCTGAATTTCCCCTTGATAAAAATAGGACAAGACCCAAGGTTAGGGGTTGTGTCAGAGAATTGTCTAATGAACTTACATGTTGTTCTCTGGCCTCTGGTGTCATGCTTATTTCCAGCAGCGTTGACGTGGTCTCACCCACACCCGTGTGATGTTCTAATGGTTGTTGCCATGGCAATGTGGGCGGTCTGCATACCCAGGCCTGCAATGGGAATAGATCTACCGGCGACGACGCCGGCAACGACGTCGCCCGGGCCCAAAACGACAATGACCGGATCCCCCGTGACAACTGGTTTTCCCACTACGCTGCTAACACTGGGAACAGATGGACTGGTGACGACTGCACCCAGGCCCAACGCGACAACACCCGGGTCCGAAACGACAACCAGGCCTAACGCGTCAACACCCAGGTTCAACGCGACAGCACCCACGTTTGCCACGACAACACCGCTACACAACACGACAACTAGCACTGCCGCGGTGCCAGCGGGTAGCGTGAAAACCACCACCACCACCACCACCACCACCCGTGCAGCAGTGTCCGTGGCCGTACCGCCATCACCGCAGAAATGCTACGCACGGTTGTGCATCTACATCTGTACTGGACTGGGTCTGACGGAATTCAACCCAGACGGCGTCCCTGCTTCCACCACACATATGTAAGTGCCTATCACTACGGTGATACTGTAAAGCGACAAACTTTTGCGGTCGCACAAATTTAGCGTTTGCATAAATTGGGCTGGTTCACGATGAGAAACTTTTGCGATTCTATCTCTTCAGTCGGATCTTGTACTGTCTGCAATCAATGTACGGAGAGGTTTGCAGCGATTTATATTTGCGAATGTGTGATGGTCGCGAAAATAGCGAAATTTAATCTCTAGCGAAAGTTTCTCACTTCACAGTACTAGGGAGGTTCTGCTATATGTGAAACGTAGAGAAATCACGTAGAGAGCAGGTGTCTGGGTTAGAGTCTACGGCTTCGCGCGTTTTTGGCTCCAGATTTCCACGCGGAGATGAGGTTCTCTACGTTGTGGCACACGCAGAGAAAATGCGTACGGATCTGCTGGGTATCTATCAACGGCGGGCAGAAAACTGCCAAATATGGAAGGGGAAAGTCCCAGTACACATTCCATGTGATTTCTCTACGTGAACGTAGAGCAGAATAGCTTTTGTTTACGTTACGGGAACGCGAAGAGAGTTCCCGGGCATACTTGATTTCTCTGCGTTTCACGTATAGCAGAACCTCCCTACTGTGCATACCGGGTTTCCCCGATTATAAGTCGCACTCAATTATAAGTTGCTCCCCCATTTTCAGGTTTGAGCAATATGGTTTCGATATACTAACTTCAGTAGTAAGTCATGCTCGATTGTAAGTCGCACCCCCTTTTTTACCCTCGGATTTTAGTGTAAAAAGGTGCGACTTGTATTCGGGGAAATACAGTACATGTATTTCGTGTTCTAGCCAGGTCAAACTATCCTGCGCTCACTGGGGGGTATATAGAAGTTTGCTTAGGGGCCGTCCGTAAATATCGAACTGTTTTAACCAAGGAACTACGAGTTACGCTAAAATGTCCACCAACACCGTCAGTTAATTTACAATCAGCTCATGCGATAACATTGCACGACACTGACTAACGGTGCTGACGTTCTACACCTAACTGGCAATCAGCTCTAGCACATCTTGGATGCGCATTCCAACAGCCTTCCAGCTTGGAAGGTTCTAAGGTAGAAACAACATAGGAGGGGAAGGTGAGCGCAACCAAGACAAGCATGAGCTGAAAGTCTGCGCTGTGAAGGACGTTGGCGGATGTACATGTGTGTCGAAGACGATACTGACAAAGATCATCAGACAAAACGGTCAAACCACAATTCAAGGACGTATAGCAACATACCACACAACTTGTGTGGCTCTAAAGATTCGAAGATCAATTGGAGGAGAAGCTAAGCGAACATGAATTATGAAGATCCGAATGCCTCAGTACTATGGAACAGTACTTCGACCAAGACAAATTTAGATCCCATGTTATTTCTAACTTGGAACCTTCCAAGCTGGAAGGCTGTTGGAATGCGCATTCAAGATATGCTAGAGCTGATTGCCAGTTAGGTATAGAACGTCAGTGCCGTTGGTCAGGGTCGTGCAATGTTACCGCATGAGCTGATTGTAAAGTAATTGGTGGTGTTAGTGGACATTTTAGCGTAACTTGTAGTTCCTTGGTCCTCATCTCTTCTTATAAATTAATCCTTGGCTCTCCACCCGAGTCTGATTTTTTTCACCAAACGGATTATTTTAGTTTCAAGCCGCGTCTGGTTCTTTACCTGCATACCCCAGCGCTTTCTGAAGGAATAGTACTAGCCATACCACACTCCGGCAGCTTGAAAAGAATCAGCATAGGATGCCACGGTGCCAGGAATCAAGAAATTCGCTGCGCCAATCATCAGCGATTTTCCGGCTTTCAACTTTAGAGCGCGCAGCATTTGGACGTACTTCGCTAACTCCAATTCGAAGCGATATGGACTCCTCAACTGGATTCCGGCCTTCTGTAGTGTGACTATGCAAACCTCATCTTGCTGCTTCGATACTTTGACATTAGTGTGCTACATCATGTGTGAAACGTTAACCCCACTCATAGAGAGTAACTGCGAAGCTTCCCGGCCATCCCTTGGCAGCAAGCCATCATGCATCTGCCCACCTGCCCACTTAAGCCCTTCCCGGTACATACCGACAGTGCCGTGGCTTCCATATTGCGCATCATCTCCAAGGCGGGTGCAGCGACTGACAATCAATTCCTTGACTAACTTATATCCATAATTATGGAGTGTTTTGAGAGAAGGCAACGGACCACCCTCAATGAGTGCTTTGCCGTCAAACTCAACATACTAACATTACACGGCGGCAACTCCGGAGCTAGCAACCTGCCCTGCTGGATTTCTACCAAGACACCCGAGTTGGCCAGCTCAGACTCGTACGTGCTGTAAAGCTGTTTGCCAATTCCATATGCTGCAGCAACGTCAGCCTTTGATTTGAAACTGCCTTTTGGGACTGGAGAATGAAAAGCACGGACAGCCAAAATTGCTGTTTTCTGGCCTTCAGCTCTGGCCAGTCTCTTCGTTCTTCTTGGTCCCTCTGATCGCGTGGCAGACTGAGGGTCGGCCTCGGGGATTAGCTCAGGGTTCTGGCCTGCTGAAGGGTACGGTCGCAGGCGCTCAGACGGTCTTCTAGTCTCCATTGAGAGATATTTTACTGCATCGATAACAAAGTCATGAGTGTCAATCCATCATTGACGACTCACAGCACGGCAGAACAAAACGATGTCGCAAAACGCTGCTAATGCCTATCTATTACTATACAGTGGAAACTCACTAATCTATCTAACTAATAAAAACACTACACCAGAAGATAGGAATCGTCCTCGACAACGATATTTTACTCAAGTTGTAAAACAACAATAAGCCATGGAAATTGTGGGTACAAGTTATGCGACTGAGTCCACCAACTAAACCAGACTTTGAGCAGTCAGATTGCATAACTTGTGCCCACAATTTCCATGTTACAATTTTTTTCCTTGGCTCACCATCTGAGCCCTTAATAATATGCCATGTAACATTTTTACAAATCATCTCGCACAACAACAACAACAACAACAACAACAACAACAACTCTCTGTATCGGATCCCCGTGCCTGTGGTTATTTCTCTCTTATTGGCCACTGGCCAGCGTGAGAATAAAAGATTTCAAAAAAAACAACAACAACAACACCAAGTGTTGCGCATGCATCTGTCCTAAATATGGAAGTGCTCTGATAGCTGTTTGTGGTATGAATTGCTCGGGAATAGTTAGGTCTTCCTCTGTTAGTGCATCCCGAATATGCAGGTTGGCATGGCAGCCAGCCAGGCACACAAACTGAGTCTTGAGTGAAGGAAATTCACTGGTACTACCGTAGTGGACACACGTGGATTCTTGACTCGTTCAAATGTGTTTGTGTATGCAGCATGCGTTCAGTTCAGTTACCATGGTAACATTTTACAGGCTATATTGTTTTGTTATTAAACAATAAGAGGGTGAAAAAGTGTTTTAACCCGTGAGTTTCACGCTCTACAGTGCATTTCAAAACTATAGACGCGTAGGGTTTTTGAAATATTTATTTCAAATTTGGCTGGAACTTTTTGAGAATAGTTTTCGGAATATTGCTCAGGACCGCTCCACAATTGCTCTCATATAGTTTCTAAAGGATTGGATAACAGACGCCCAATTTGGAAAAAATTATGCACAAAGTGATCACAGATTTTATGTGGTATAGATGCTGGCATAACGGTTTTTGCCTAGGTACGCGTCTATAGTTTTGAAATGGACTGTAAGCGATCATCAGAAAACAGACTCTTATTGTTTGAACCCGCTCTGCCTCTCGGTATTGAGCACTCTCTTGGACAGCCTGGAACCTCTCTGTTTTATTATTATTATGTATTATTATTTAAACAAACCGCGAGGAGACAATAATTTGATACCCGCAATCAATAAGACAAGCTGAATCGACATTTGTGTACACTTTATTCGTGCAATGTAAAACGGTGGAGACAATGTGCAATAGAACGATGAAAATATGAAGAAATAGTGTAGAGAAAAAGTAAGGATTCAAACAAGTTTTCGTACAACACTCATCAGGAATCGTCGTTGTACTAAAGGACACTGAAACAAAATTGAACTATTATAGAAAATCTAAGTTAGAGAAAAAGAAAAAACAGCAGTGAAATTTACAAGTGTGAATTTTAACAATGAAAGCGAGAGCAATAACGAATGCGTCTGCTGACAATAAACTTGCAAATGAAAAAATGAACAAACTAGAGAAAGAAAGAAGGAAGGACAAAGTGATAACCCATAACAGCAGTACATTTCACCTAGAATATTAACAGCCAAGCTTGTATATTATAACGCTTTTCCTCTTGTCTCTTTTTGTTGTGTACTTTCCACAATATTGTGTTGCATTGTAAAAAAAATCAAAATACTATGCGTGTGTTCAGTTGTGTTTGTTCGCTTTCGCCTGTGCCACCGCACTGAATCCAACTGGGTGATGCTCATCTACACCTAGCCCATTCGGACGATCTTTCCTAATACTGTATTCTGACTACAGTCAACTGTGACCACTTTTCTATGACTCAGACGTGTTTGATCCGCGACTGTACATTTGTCATTTCAAACGCGACCGCATCACCGTGGAAATTCAAGTTCAGACGTCGCGTGATTTTGGCCGTAGTCTGAATGATGAGTAGCCGATAACCTTGCCTTTGTGTGTCTGTGCTTACAGAGATCTGTCAGTTAACAATCTCTTTAGCCTACCGGATAATGCTTTTCGTACTACCCGAAACCTCCTTGAACTGTAAGTCGGGGTCAAGTCTAAAGCAAACCGTCTGACAACCTTTGATTGTGTCCGCAGCACAGCCTGTGAGGGAGATCACTCTGGTAAGGCAACCACCTGTCAGGGGGGAAGGGGCACTTTGATAGGGCCATCACCTGTCGGGGGGGGGGGGGGGCACTTTGATAGGGCCATCACCTGTCAGGGGGGGGGGGGGGGCTTGCATTTTGATAGGGCCATCACCTATCCATGAGATCACTCTGAAAGGGCCACGACCTGTCGAGGGGACCACTCTGAAAAGGCAACCAGCTGTGGATGTTTCTGTGTGTTTTTACATGTGTGCATGTATGTGTGTATGCGTGCGTGTGGGTGGGTGCGCGCGCGTATGTTCTCTTTGCAGAGTTCTATCATGGAACATATTAAACACGTGGAACACACGGCCGTTTCATGCTGTACCCTTCCTGCGGCGCTTGTAAGGCATGTCTGTGTGTAATTCACCATAATGACTCACTATAAAAGCGCATGTACTTACATGATGAAGTTGATTGTTCTAACGAGGAGCACACACTTCCTGTCATCACTAATACCGCCGAAGTCGCAACTTCTAAGTTTGTACTTACATGTTTTACATTCATAGAGAGTGGTTGGGTGGACACCCATTCCCAAGGCACTGCAAACCGAACCAATTCCTTTACGTACGTTTCGGCAAAATTGCCACCATCAGGTACGAAATGAAACAAAAAGAAGCAGTTTTATGCCAAAGTCCTACCGCCAAAACAGCATAATCCCGCTCAATAAGAATAATAGAATACAGCAACTTCAGTGGCAGAGGTGTAAGGGAGATATTTAACGCCAGCAACAAAACATATCGTGTGAAAAAAATCCTACCGGCCAAAACAGCATGATCTGGCGCCATAAGAGTAACAGATACAGCGAGTTGAGCGGCAAAGGTGTACAAGTAGGCGAGATATTCACCACCGGAACCAAAGCATATTGTCACATTCCATCATTGTCATCTTCCCAACACCTGTATCTCTCACCAATCATGAATGTCTTAAACCTCATGCATGCGTACTACAAGAGGCATGCCAGTGAGGGAAGCTTCCCAAGTGTAAGTGATTTATTCAGTGATGACAGCTCTGTGGCCACTCCATTATAATGATTGCCCAATTCAGTCCAATACGTGAAGCCATCGAGATCCGCGACACCAGGCCCCACGTTAACACCAGCACCGGATGGGAACTATTGTAGGAAAAAACAATTAATAATTTGGATGATATCAACTGTTTCTTTGATAGTAACTGAATTGGACAATCATTATAATGGAATAGCCACAAAGCCATCATCACTCTCTCTCTCTCTCTCTATCTATCTATCTATCTATCTATATCATAGCATTTCGAGCACTCTTGGCGGGGTTTGCAGCTCTTTATAAATGCTTTGCTTCACGGAAACGTATTTCATTGCGAAGAGCTGCGCTTCGGTCCTCTGAGCTGTGCTGAAGAGCTCTAACAGAGCGAAACAGTTGCTGTCCACAGATTTGAGTATTATGCTCCCTAGCAGTCAGCAATGTCGTTAGGTTGAGCACTCTTACCTTAGCGCGAACCCTTGCTGCTCGCCTTGTGCAACGCTCACTGCTCTTGGAGCATTTCGAGCACTCTTGGTGGGGTTTGCAGCTCTTTATAAAAATGCTTGGCTTCACGGAAACGTATTTCATTGCAAAGAGCTGCGCTTCGGTCCTCTGAGCTGTGCTGAGGAGCTCTAACAGAGCGAAACAGTTGCTGTCCACATATTTGAGTATCTATCTATATAATCCATCTATCTCTCTCTTTCTCTCTCTCTCTCTCTCTCTCTCTCTTTCTCTCTCTCGCTCGCTCTCCCTCTCCCTCTCTCTCTCTCTCTCTCTCTCTCTCTCTCTCTCTCTCTCTCTCTCTCTCTCTCTCTCTCTCTCTCTCTCTCTCTCTCTCTCTCTCTCTCTCTCTCTCTCTCTCTCTCTCTCTCTCTCTCTCTCTCTCTCTCTCTCTCTCTCTCTCTCTCTCTCTCTCTCTCTCGCTCTCCCCCCCCTCTCTCTCTCTCTGTATATGTGTGCATGAGTGAATGTCATGCACATGTGGTGCATCTCTGCCCGCGGAACAGTTGAAAGCCAAATCTTGATATTCCCACCTGTTGTTGGTTGTTTATCTGGTACTGTAAAAGCCATATATAACGAAGTGCTAATTCTAGCGAGTTAACGAGGAGAAATCTGTCGTCAAATTTTAATCGTTATACGCGCCTCTGGATCCGATGTCGTTTCGCACAGTATTGAGAAAAATGCATTTGAATATTGAGTTTTCCCATAAAGCGCTGTATAATTCTATTATTGAAACACCCATAACTCTGTGAAAGATAACGATTTTAGACCTAGGTTTTTTACAGAGTGATCTGCTGGGGTATGGCAATGTCATTGTATAGACAACTAAAAAATGCTACAAAATGACATACTGAGTAAGCCCCTTTTGGAATCTAGAGGCTCAATTACAGAAATCGATACAATACTGTTGCTATTGAGCATTGAGAATGAGTGAGAATCGTTACCTTTGGTTCACGTAAACCAGTCTTGTAGGAAATCGTTATATATGTGCCTCGTTAGAATAACGGCTTTTACAGTACCTAAAAAGGAGCGGTGTCTGCTTCTTCTTTTTTTTCGTTTGTCTGTTTGTCCTGTTCTATGTGTTCTGTTTGAAATAGAGATCTGAGCAAAAACCTAATCTTTTCAGTGCCTGAATATCTGTTTTCCGCCTTGCCTGAATTAACTTCCCTGTAAGTACACATTTCTAAGCACTCGCAGACTCCATTGCAGCCACTCACACATTACAGGGTACCTCACTTCAAACTCTCCAACTACGGTCTCTTCGCTGCATAAGTTCACTTCACTTCCAAAATAAATAAATAATATTAGATACAAATGGAATGCACCAAATTTTCGGGCATGGCCATCTTCAGGGTGAAAAACCATTCAACTAAAGCCAACAAAAACTGAAACGAGTATATATACTGTGTGTTGCGGGAGTGATGGAAATGTTTGTATGTGTGGAGGGTAGCAGCAATGGTGAAGTGTGTTGGTAGAAACCACTTCTTTAAAACTTATCTTTGATATTTTTGACCCACCCAAGTTGGGTGGTGTGCTGCTTTGCTGCTTCGAATTGTAGTTAGACCGCTTTGTCAAATCGCCTCCTGGTCTCGTCATCGTCCAGTGACAATCGACATTCTTTGTTCCGTTGGGACTGTAGCTTGTGCTCGTTTTCGTTGCGCTTGCCTTCCCCTCTTTGGTCTTTCCATAACCTTGAACCTTCCAAGTTGGAAGGCTGTCGGTTAGCGCTACGGAGATGTGTTGAAGCTAGGTGTCAGGACGTCGAATGTCTCAGTACTCTGTCAGTTTTGTGCCTAGTTGTTGCACTTTCTGACTGTATATAGTATCTAGTTACAGTGGTGGAGAGTTACTCTTAACTCGTTTCCATATGTCCTTTTCCTTTCTACTTTTATAATTGGCTCAATACCAGAGTTTCAAATTACACAATTTATTATTATTATTATTATTATTATTATTATTATTATGCACACACTCATGGCCAAGGCCAATCAAGGAGGAGGTGAGGGCGAATAGCCAGCCATGGCAACAACAACAAAAAATAGCTTTTGCAGTAGTTTATGGTTATCGTCCCTATCAAAATAAAAAAGGGCACTATCCACAAAGTTTACTCGTGAAAACTATCAAGATGTTCAAGAGCCAAAAGTGTGTTCTTCTCCTAAAAATGCTCGTGCTGATTTATGTGCTGCGAAGAACATAAACGGGTCTCACCAGAGGAGCGCATTCCAGCGTTCGGAGCCAAGCAGTACAGCCGGCCCTGTACATTTCTCCCTCATGATTTGTCCAAATATGGAATACCGTAGTGTCTTGTATTCAAGCCTATCTCGATTAGAAGCCTATTTTTAATACAAGCCTGATTTTCAAGATAGTTTTAATTTATTACACTGTCGGCACATCAGCCTGGTTTTAGTTTTTACGCTCATCTCTAATGTCTGTGTTTGTGTGTGCGTGTGTGTGTCTGTGTGTGCGTGTGTGTGTGTCTGTGTGTGTGTGTGTCTGTGTGTGCTTGTGTGTGTGTCTGTGTCTGTGTGTGTGTGTGTGTGTGTGTGTGTGTGTGTGTGTGTGTGTGTGTGTGTGTGTGTGTGTGTGTGTGTGTGTGTGTGTGTGTGTGTTGTTTGTTCCAGTGACCTATCGGACAATCATTTACTGGATCTACCCAACAGAGTGTTTAACTTCAACCCCATACTGTCGAGACTGTAAGAGAATGGGATGTAGGCTGCGCTGCATAACTCAACTGATAGGAGAAAATTCAACTGTACTTTCCAGTGTGTGTATGTGCGTGTGTGCGTGAGTGTGTGTGTGTGTACACGTGTGTGCACGTATGCTTGTGCACGTGTGCTTGTACATGTGTGTAGGATGTGCATAGGTAACTGTCTTCTAAGGGCTGGGTTCCACTGCGGCTCCGCTGCTCGCGGCACTTGGCTGCATGCAGCGGAGCAGCGCGGTTCCACTGACACTCGCCATTCGCGGTACCGCGGTCATGCTTCACGTTTTCTGATGACGTTCTACCTGCCTGCGCGCACGTGCGAAATCAAAAAAATCCTCGTCTTCTGGCCTACACAACGAATTAAAATTTGAATTTTAAAATTCTCGCGTACAAAACAATGAAAAGTACGGGAAACAGGTCGAGCCGCGACCGCGGCTCGCAGTTTTTGATCAAGAATCACAGCAAAAGTTCGCGGTGAGCCGCGGCCTCGCTGCTCCAGCTCGAGCCGCGGTCACTATGGTAATGATGACGTTTCAAGCCGCGGATGACGAGCAGCGGAGCCGCAGTGGAACCCGGCCCTAAGAGGCCATCTTTTCCAATGTATTCCATGTGGTGTAGACCAGGTGTGCATTGGTGGTAGATTTGCATGGCTTCACCTTGATTTGTTTGGATCAGGCTGTTATCTGGCGTTAGTCCGGCTTGATCTGTTTCATTCAGATCTACTATCTACTGGTCCGCTATCATTGCTGCAAGAGAACCTCTGCGGGTGTGCGCCCAGCACATTTGCAGAGTTAAGTGCTTCTCTTGCAACGGACATACATGGCACATGGTACATGGTGTGTGTATGTGTTTGTGTGCACGCGTGCATGCACGCCCGCCTGTGCCTGTGGTTTTGCCACTTGTCTTTCTGTGCACGTATCTGTGAACATGGTATGCATCAAAGTTGGCATTGACCTGATGGACAACTGAATGTGTTCCCCATTTTTTTTTTAACCCTTGAGTTTCATGATGGAATGTTTAAGGGGTGTACACAAGAGAGAGATTGCAAGCTGTGTCGCAACTCTGAGTTTCGCGTAATACCACGATCATCGGGCAACTGATGGCTCCAAACCGAGCAGCCTGAACATATTAAAGGCCGTTACGGGGGAGCAAGGTGAGAAATACTGAGGGGAATCGTAGGGCATAGTGAGGGGTGTACATATCTATTTGTGGGTTCTATTGACGCGTGTGCTCGATTTGTTTACCTGCAGGAACTTGGACGGAAATCTTTTCAGCAGTCTGAACCCGGAAATGTTTGATCCTATCGCCTCACTCACAGCCATGTAAGTTGTGTTGTGCACCGAGCCAGCCACTCTTCGCCTTTGCAAGTTTCAATCTACGAACACTACGAGCGCGGAGCTGTCTTGTATTTGGACGTTCGGAAAGTCTCTTGTATGGTTAGGTGGTGTCGTCGCAAAAGTGTTCTGTCGTCCTTGAAACGAACATCGTTCCTTTCGTACTCGGACCCCCTCCCCTCCCTCTGAAACGGATGCAGCTTGCTATGCTGGACGACGAAAATTGCATGCATGCGCATGACATATGTGCAGTGTCGGTCGACTTGCGATTTTGGCTCGCACCCCCCCCCCCCCGACCAATGATGTTCGTTTCAGGGACAACAAAAAACTTTGCTACGACCCCTTACGTAAAAAAATTCTTCCTTCCTTCTTTTTCATGCACTGCAAGAAGACAGACTTCCAAGCTGGAGTATTGTTACCTCCTATGATTATTAAAGTCAACAGACATATTCGGCGCAAATCTATGTTCGGCTGTTTTCAGCCTGAGCCGTTGGGGCCTAAAATTGCTGCAGCTGAAATTTTGGCTTTCAAGATACAGTATGAGGGTGTCGTGGCAGGAGTAGTCAACGCTGAAATTTGAATACGGCCAATCAGTGCTTTAGGCTGAAATAATTACATTAGTAAACGCACTGGAATTTTGTAGATTTAGTCAACATGACTGTGTGATGTTCGGTCTTTGACTTGATTTGTGAGAAGGCATTCTACTGCCTGTAATTCTGGTGAAGTAAAATAAAGTAACAACAACAACAACAACAACAACAACAACAACCACTTGGTGGTGGTTCTGAATCTGATCTCCTCACCACCAACCGCTTGGTAGATGCGTCTGTGCCTGGATTCTTGAGACTGGTGGCGTTGCTACGGATGCCGAAACTCACTCCATTTGAGTTGGTGTATTGTAATCCCATCACAAATTTGTTCGTTATCATTGCTGCAGCGATGGGCATATGGAAGTGGAAGTGTGTGCATGAATTCTCAGTTGTATGCCCTAAATCCCTAAACTAAAGAATGTGTCTTCATCGTGGGACCCTTCTCCTGGTCTGCATGTCCAACAGTTGTTTTGTCTCTGTACATTGTGTGTGTGTGTGTGTGTGTGTGTGTGTGTGTGTGTGTACGTATGTACGTGTGTGTGTGGGTGCGTGCGTGTGTGTGTGTGTGTACGTATGTACGTGTGTGTGTGTGCGTGTGTGTGCGTGTGTACGTGTGTGTGTACGTGTGTGTGTGTACGTGTGTGTGGGTGTACGTGTGGGTGTGCATATGCATGTATATGTGTGCATGTATTATACTATTATGTGTATGTGTGTGCATGTGTGTTTATGTATGTGTGTGTGTGTATGTGTGTGTACGTATGTTTGTGTGCATTTGTGTGTGCATTTGTGTGTGCATGTATGGCATGACAGTGGTCTAGCCCACAATCGAATCTCCACCTTACCACCTGGTATCTTTGATGGTCTTGCACACCTACAGAACGTGTAAGTATGCCATGCTTTATGTTCGTGTGTGTACGCGTGTGTGTACGTATGTGTGTACGCGTGTATGTACGCGTGTGTGTGTGGGGGGGGAGGGGTGCGGCGCGAACATGTTTGGGTGTGGGTGTGGGTGTGTGTGGGGGGGGGGGGGGGGGTACGTGTGTGCATGTGTATGTTTGGGTGTGTATTCGGGCTGAAACGAACACAATTTCTCGGTAATCGAAAGTTCTTGACGCTAACGAGCAAACACATGTTTCTTTTTAAGCAAGCATTGCTTCTCCTGGGTGTTGTGCAATGATATGCAACGGCACTAGTATGTACTGCACACATGCATGTCCTAACTCATCTTACTACACAGCACATCCCCTAATGTTGCACTGCGCCCTAGTGAAGAACATGTGTCTGTACGTCTGTTCTGGTTTTTTCTCACTGTGTGTTTGTGTCCATGTTTGTGTGCGTCTCTGCTTGTCCGTGTTTGTGTGCATCTCTGCTTGTCCGTGTTTGTGTGCGTCTCTGCTTGTCCGTGTTTGCATGTCTGTGTCTGTTACTGCATGTGTCTGTTTTTGCATGTGTCTGCTCGTCTATGTCTGTGTTATCGGCTGCGTAATTGCTTGCCATTGCTGGTGTATGCCGTTGTCTTCGCCATCTTACCATGGCTGGCTGGCTGACTGCAGGAATTTGGCAGGAAATCTATTAAGCGCAGTACCAGTGAATGTCTTCAACAACCTCACTTCCCCCACTATAGTGTGAGTTGTGTGACATGCACTTCCTCCGCTAATCTCTTTTACCCTTATTTTCAAGTTTGAAACCACTGAGTGTGAATTAGAATTTTAAAATTAACGCGCACATTTTTGTGCTCCGCGCATAGACCAGCGTACACGCTGTCGTAACTCCATCACTCGTAAACGCATCGTAACAAATACTTCAGTAATACAGCGTTGAAGAGGTCTTGGGCTCAGCTTTCCGGGAATATAAAGTTCTTTGCGCTGAGATCAAAAACCCTCAGAACAATCGTGATTTTTTCTTTATGTCTTCGCAGTTTTTTTGTTTGTTTTGTAGAAGTTTTCCTTTGACACGGAGCATGCCTGATGGACATCAAATAAAGAACGCGAAAGGCCTGCACTTTTGGATGTACCGTACAATTCATCGTGTTTTGGATGAAACCGAACAGTACAACACTGTCGCGCCGCACCCTCATATGCATCTGGTTGACAACACCAACAAGCACAGACTTTCTGGCGTTCAATAGATATCCGTAGCACCAAGAGTACATAACCCCCCTCCCAGAGTGTGCAACGCCTGATCCAGCTGTGCATAGGGTCTTGGTCGAGCGTAATCGGATCTTTGCGTCATAATACCGTACACATCTGAGGGGAACCCGGGGAGTCGCGGGTACTCTCGGATCAAAAACAATGGTGCCCTGCCTCGAGACCGGCCTTGCGCTGGTGTGGAGTGTACGCATGACATCAGAAGATCCGACTATGCTCGACCAAGACCCTATGCAGAGCTGGATCAGGCGTTGCACACTCTGGGGTGTTATGTACTCTTGGTAGCACGGCCCTTCAGCCTGCAGCTCATCCCACCACAAATGCATAGCCACAAGAAGACCACCGGCAGATGAATATCATCCATATACCAGAGCTGGCAGGTGTTCAGAGTTGCCACTGCTCTCACAGGTGGGAGAATTCCGATGGCGTAGAACGGCATTGCCAATGGGTCTCCCTGGGTTGTGCCTTACTGGGAGGGAAAACGTTCGCCTGCCACGCATAAAGTGCTGGGGCGCTGGTATGAGTTGATGATAACGGCAGCAAGAGAGGGGCACTGATGACAAATATTGCGGATGGCCACATTGCAATTCAAGTTGTTGAACGCATTTGCGGCATCTGCCGTAATCACACCCTCGGTTTCCTCTTGTGCATAGACGTGCTGCATGGCATGGATAGCTGCCTCTTTGCCAAAGTCTTGGCCACCTCTTTTCAAGATTTAGAAAAGCGATCCTGTCAGCTTTTCTATACCTGATTTTTTGGTAATACAAATCTGTCTTAAAGCAGTTTTTATTGTCATGGCATATCCATAGTAGTCGCAAGACTAGGCATTGTAGGCAAGAACACCCAGACGTTCCACAGGGCCGCGGGGCGGCTTAGTGAACTGCACGAATTAGCAGCGTCACAATGAGAAGGAGACCTTTCATGTCGTCCTCGGTGAAAACGTCGTTGATGGCTTGAATTGCTCCCTCGATTTAGGCTAAGCCCTGTTGGTGAATCCATATATACAAATACCCACTGCTGCCTCGATCCCGGCTTTTACGCTAGAACTGAGCTGGTCAGCCCCACAGACATCCTGTACATCGAGTCCCGAAACAGGGGCTATGGCTTTCGCCTCGAATGCCCTGCCTAGATTCACCGTCTCCGATTGGCCACTCACCAGTGGGAGTTTACCCCGTGTGACGTCTCACCGAGCGAGGAATGCTCTCAGACAATCGCTTTTTCAGCCTCATCACTTTGGATAGAGCTAATCGGGGCTGTCCGAAATGATCGATCTTTTTTTTACACAAAGAGAAAAAGTTTCGTTCATGGGTGGGTCGAGGAGAGTTTCGTTTTGAAAAATATTGATAGCATAAACATCAATCCATTCTCACTATCAAAGTCATTGTATATTTTGTTCTGGGGGGGGGGGGGGGGGGTATAGTGGTTGCGACTTTGGCGATGATTTTTTAGGAATGGGTTTGCTCCCACACTGGAGCTCGTGGTATTCCGCCGACTTGACTTGACACTTGACTGACTCACTGCCATCCAGAGCACACGAGAAGTCTAACCTTCGACTCAGCAAACCTGCAAGAAAGCACCACTCCCTGCTCAATACACAGTGTTTCGTGGAATTCATCCCTCATCAGTTGGGCTTGAGTAGGCTGAGGAGGGGGGTTGTAACTAAACTTTTTTCGTTCCATGAAAAATATCGATAGTGCCGGATTCCCCCTATGACTACAGTCCATTTCAAAACTATAGACGCGTAGGGTTTTTGAAATTTTTCAAATTTGGCTGGAAGTTTTTGAGAATAGTTTTCGGAATATTGCTCAGGACCGCTCCACAATTACTCTCATATAGTTTCTAAACGATTGGGTAACAGACGCCCAATTTGGAAAAAATTATGCACAAAGTGATCACAGATTTGATGTGGTATAGATGCTGGCATAACGGTTTTTGCCTAGGTACGCGTCTATAGTTTTGAAATGGACTGTAGCTAGATCTTTGTCCAAGAAAGGTTTTCCGTGATGTGAAATGCCTTCAGGGCACATTTCATGGTGGGTTTAGTAGTAAACACTATAGGGTCCTGTACATTCAACACCCAACCGGGTCCACAGGATTTTACGTGATTCTACTAGATTCTACTGGACTGCATACATCTGTACAACGTGTGGAAGGCTCATGTACAGGCTTGCTTGCACTTCCATGGTAGAATTTCGCATCACGTGACATGACTGTGTGTACGTGTGTATATGTGCCTGTGTGTGTGTTTGTGTGTGTCTGTGTTTGTGTGTGTGTGTGTTTGTGTGTGTGTGTGTTTGTGTGTGTGTGTGTGTATGTCCGTGTGTACGTGTGTATGTACGCCTTGCAGGTCGCTGGCCCGGAATGGTATCAGCTATGTACCAGTTGATGTGTTTGCACCGTCTCCGAATCTGTTTGTGTAAGGCTGTGGCTACCGTATTTTTCAGAGTATAGTGCGCACCTTTGTATAATGCGCACCCCCAATCTTCATTGGGGGTGCGCACTTCAATCTTCATTGAAGTACATGCATTTCATATTCAGAGCATAGTGCGCACCTGCGATTTAGGGCCTAAAATAGCACATCTAAAGTGCGCACTATACTCCGGAAAATACGATAAGTGTTGGTTTTGTGCCATGCTCAGCGTACAATGCCTTCAAAACTCTATGCAGTAGCTTGGTTGCTGCATTGTCCTCACTCATGCCAAGACATATTCCGTGATGGAAATGGTGCCAGTGGTGGTGGTGGTGGTAGTGGTGGTGGAGGAGATAATGGTGGATGCTGGTGCCACCAGTGATTTTTGTTTGTACGGGGCTCAACAGGCTCAAATTATCGTCACGTTTGTTTCACTGAACTAATTGGTACGGGATAAAAATGGGAATTTGTCCACTGCAGGTTCAGGATACATCTGGTAATATGTGTACAGTGCGTATTGCATCACAACATAACGTCAACTTGTAATTCTGTCGGGACAGCACCCATAGTGGAGTTGCACACCCGGGGGGGGGGGGGTATGTACTCTTGGTTTGGTTTGGTCGGTTGGTGTTTATTTTTACTTCGCATATTCAAACGCGATGACAACCCAATCAAAACTAATGATGGCGAAGTTTGTGAGGTAGCCATAGTATGGCTATGTTACACATGTAGCGTACCTGCAGCAGACAGCATTGCACTGGTAACAACTTCCCGCCTGTTTATTTCCTCGTTCTGTGCCGCTGGCTTTTGTTTGTTTGACTTGCACAGAGACTTGTCGTCCACTGGCCTTCGCTTCATTCAAGACCATGCCTTCGTTGTGAACAGGTTTATGTGAGTGAGTCATGCCATCACCCTTGCTGGACTTCTATTCTGTCTTCACTCACACTGTTTCCGTGTCGTCGTGTTCGGTCCGTGTGTTTGTCAGTTAGTCGGCAGGAAGCGTGGACTCCTGCGTTTGGAGCAGCCACATTCTTGTACATGTGCCTACTCGATCAGCAAAACAGCGTCGCCCTTTTTTTTCACGGTTCGCGTGAGACTCAGCTGGAAACCGAGTTTTCCGCATCCGTAGGAATGCCACCACCCTTCAAGGATCAAGGCATCGGCATCAGCAAAACAGCATCGCCCTTGCTGCACTTATAATCTGTCTTCACTCACACGCCGTTCCAGTGCTGTGCTTCTCAGCCAGTCGACAGGAAGCGCAAGCTCCAATATCTGGATCAGCCACCTTCTTGTACCAGCTTGGTCACCGAAACAATGACAACAATATTTTGTAAAAGTGGGGAGGCTTCCTGAAGTTTCATAAAAGAGCCCACACGCTCTCTTCCATTAACGCTGCAATAGTTCAACTCTATTTTGAGCTGAAGATAGGCTGGGATTTGAACCCACAACTTCAGGGTCAGCAGACAGCCTTCATAACCACAAGGCCGAAAAAAAACAGTGATAAATAGTGGGTTATTATACGAATCTCTGCTGGCTTCTTGGGCAAATTCTCTTGAAACCAAGGGAAAAGGCCAGAAACCTGGCCGGATTTTTAACTCGTTAATGGCTGGTCCAATTGTTCCAAAACCTTGACAGAACGATTTGCCATTCCCGAACAAGCCATTCTACTCTTTAATCTGCTAACATGAGCAAGGGGTTTACCAGTCTCAAGGCAGTCATAGCACTTAGAGAGAAGGCCTTGGCAATTGCAGCATGAAGCAACGTAGGCTTAACTCAGGGCTAGGTACAGGGGCGTAGCACCCGCTACGACTGGTACGACCATGGCCGTACCACTTTTCGAAAAGTGTGGTCCGTCTGGAACGTGCAAAACCGTAATAAAAAATCAGGATCCATCAATGCATACATAATTTAAATTATGTACATGTATGCGCATCAGACTTTGACCATTTTCTAGACTCGTACTCGTAGATCTGTTATGCATCTGCAGTCGTACTGAGTACTGTACTCGACTCGACGCCAGAAGACGCCAGAAGTTCCCAGAACGCAGGATTTTGTGTCTTTTTTACAAAATTTTCCCGGGGGAGGTCCCCCCGACCCCCCTCCAACACGGCCTTCGGCCGCACCGACCTTCGGCCGCACCGACCTTCGGTCGTACCACTTCCAAAAACCCTCCTACGCCCCTGAGGTACATGATATAATATCATTGATCTGGGCTGTATTTGGGGGTCGGCGGGCCATGGCGTGATCGAGTTGCATACGATATGCCACGGATCGTGTAGAACTTATCCGGGGTCTAAATTCACATCATTTCTGACACTGTGATCTCACTCCTTTGATGACTGATGGCATGTTGGGAATGTTAACATGAAATGTGTGCTCTTTCTCTGTGTCTTTCTGCCTCTCTATCTCTCGCTCTGTCTATCTGTATCTGTCTCTGTCTCTCTCACGCACATGCTCTCTCTTTCTCTCTCTCTCTCTCTCATTTATCTTCACACACTTTCCCTACTTTTTTCCTTTTTCTTTTGCTCAATTTGTGATGGAAAGAAATACTAGAGGGACACTGTACGACAAGAGGATGGAAAGCAATCGTAAGTTTTGGCTGTATATGTGTGTGTGTGTCTGTGTCTGTGTCTGTGGGTGTGTGTCTGTGGGTGTGTGCATGAGTGTGTGTGTGTGCATGAGTGTGTGCGTGTGTGTCTGTGTGTGTGTGTGCATGAGTGTGTGTGTGTGTGCGTGTGTGTCTGTGTGTGCGCGCGCGCACGCGAGCGTGTGGGTTTGGGTGTGGGTGGGTGCATGTGTATGCAGTAGCCAAGGTTCTTGTCCTCGGGAGCGTCGGCCGGGCGCATGTTCCTTGAAAGGCGCAAGTCAGAGGGATATCAAAGGCAGGCCGTAATGTTAGTGATCCAAGGAATGTTATCCCACGGCTCAGCAGCCTGTGATGTGTGTTGGTCTGCTCTGGGAGCCCACCATTAGCTACAGTGCTGCTCACGGATATCCAGTCTCGTCACTCAAGTACACGCCGGGCGTTGCGCAGCTATAGACCTACGCACGCTGGGCTGAGAAACAGTGCAAGGCGCACACTTGAGCGAAGCGACTGCATTTCACTGAACAGCACTGTAGTTCTTGCAGGATTTCTTAAGGGATCATGAATTATATTGCCGTGGTAACCACCTTGTAAAAAAAATTAAAAAATCACGGTTCGCTTGAGATTCGGTTAGACTGAGTTCTCGGCCACCAACCTGGAAAGATCAAAGGTGCAGATGCAGCGCCTAAAGTGGCAACATTCCAGTAAAAACCTTGTTTACACTGGACATCAGTTTGTGAAAGATCCCTTCATTCAAACTACATTGCAATACATGTCACATTTTGGAAAACGACGTACTGGCGAACGTCGTTTTCACGCGGGTGCATTCACACAGGCATATACACGCTTTTCGTACAGCTGTGCGTACAGCTTCTTTCGGATACAAACTACCGGGAAGGACAGAACGAACCTCGGTACGGGGGGTCTGGATACGTCGTCTACGTTTTCGTATCAGGGGTACGATTTTTCCCGCCATGTTCCATGTTGCCAAAGCTATCCGGACGAAAACGCCACGTACGACTTGGGCGTAGTGTGAATGGCCCATTACGTACTGTGATCTTGGTAACGGGCGTCAGGCATCCTGCAGCTTCATCACTCAATGAAAGTTCTGATCAGAGCATATTGCAACCTGATAATGGCAAATTGCAGGAACGTCGTTGAAACGGATACGGTGCACTGACTTGTGAATTGGCAGTGCCGAGGGAAAGAGCATGTCTGCTAGAGATTCCTCTTTGCTATCCTGCCATTTGCTAGTGTACGGAGACGTGATTTCACTAAGAACAAGCAACAGGGACGTACACTGCAGGCGTGCTCAGTGAACCGCTGCATCAATAAGCCGTGTGCATGTTGTACACAAGCACCGAGTCTCGTGGATTCTCGTGTAATCTCGTAGACTCGGCCGAGTGTTGAATGTGCAGGACCCTAGTGTGTCTACTGCTTTTTCCACTAAGAAAACGGGCCCTGGCGGCATTTCACACGAGAAGTGTTTTTCCCCGAAAAGATCTACCTTGTCATTAGTTCTATCCGAGGGTGATGAGGCTGGAAAAGCGATTGTTTGTTATTGACAATGAGGCTGGAAAAGCGATTGTTTGCCATTGATACTGAGCCGCTAAATTGGTCAGGTGAGCATGTACAGCATACAGTGGACAACCCAACCGGGTATGTACCAGGCCCGCCGGAACCCGTCCGGTCGGTCAGGTTATGAATATCACCAGACCAACTTGTTGGCCACCAACAAAATGTTTCCTACTGTGGTGGATGTGTGTACCCGCCACATCACGCACAAAGTATAAAAGGCCATGAAACTAACGGACCAACAAAAACTGCTTCCGGCGGTCCTGTGTACCAACCCACGGCAGTAGCACAGAACTCCGTAGATCTGTACTACGTGCGTAAGGAGTCAGCACCATTCGTTTGCTTTTGGTCCAACTTTACAGGTGCCGCCCTCCAAGCAACCTGCCCATTCGCGGCGGACGTTCGTTTCTTCGAAGGCAGCGCCTATTCCTGTTCGTGCAAAGCTGGCCTGCAGTTCCAGTCGCGTAGCTGTGTCCACCAAATCAGCAATGGTAACTGTGACAGCTCGCCTCTGCCAGTCGATCGGTGCCGTCTGTTTCCAGTGCGAGTAGGATATGTCAATAACACTAAGCAGTTCTCAGTTCTAGAGTGCCCAACAGGCATGTCGATGGTACCGAATCCGTGCTACGGTAAGTACTCTACCTCCTCTCTCTCTCTCTATCTCTCTCTATCTATCTATCTCTATCTTTCTCTCTCTATCTCTCTCTCTCTCTCTCTCTCTATTTCTCTCTCTCTATTTCTCTCTCTCTCTCTCTCTCTCTCCGTGTGTGTGTATCTGTCTGTCTATCTATCTATCTATCTATCTGCACATCTCTTTCTCTGTCTAGTTCTCTCTTATTCTGTCTCTTTGCCTATCTGGTTGCGTCGGTGAGTTATTGTGGGTGTTTTACCTAGCCTGTTATGCGTCCACGACACGTTTTGTCACTTCATTCAGACTTCTCTTCATTCAGACTTCTCTTCATTCAGACTTCTCTTCATTCAGACTTCTCTTCATTGAGGGTGTATGGCAGTCTGCATGGATTTTTGTTTCTAAATTTTCTTTTGTGTGCATGTGTGTGTGCATGTGTGTGTGTGTGTGTGTGTGTGCGCCTGTGTGTATTGTGCATTTGCATGTGTGTATTGTGCATGTGCATGTGTGTGTGTGTGTGTGTGTGTGTGGTTGCCTCAATTCTGCACTTGTCTAGGCTACGCCAGTGAAGGCTCGGTGCTGTTCGAAGCCAACAGGACGTGCAACACGCTGTTTAACGCTTACATCTGCGTGTGCCCGGGCAGCACAAAAGACCAGCCACGGCAGCTTTGCGACGGTAAGGAATGCCCAGCTCACCCTCAGGCAAGCCCTTCATATCATATACAGCAGATAAACTTGGCTAAAGTCTACCGGTATTCAATTGTAAATGCTCAGAATTACCCTTGTTTGAGTTTGGGATTGGAAATTCTCGAAAGTTTAAAGTTACTAGGAAAGGGTGCACTCGTGGACTCTCCCTTTGCTGGCCCTATTCGCACTCCTCTCCACAGGATGTGTGCAGTGTTACAGGGCATGCCTAGAAAACAAGTAACCGAAGCCAGTTGCCGGTCGTCAACACTATGGTGTTTCATCTACAATCGCCTGTGACAAAGCCCTTGACAAAAGTTGAACTTGTATGTTGTTCTCTGATCTAGTATTCTACACCACCCTTGTGATATCTGATGCATTGAGACCGGTCTTGGCCGATCGCACGCTAGGGACGTTCAAAATGTGGTCCTCGTGTACAGCTTGTCTTCGTATTCAGGTTCATCAGACTGGAAGTAACAGGTTTTGGTCTTCGGTGTACATGAGAGCGTGACGATGTCGAAACCAGTTGGTCGACGGAGCGCCTGGTCCCCACCACCACCATGGCTGTTGCATGTTCCCATTCCCATTGCGTGCAGCACATGCGACTTTCAGTAAAAAAATTAAAAAAATGTAGTGGTGTTCTGGGACATGTGGATCGCCTACTGGTAACCAGAGTGGTGGCATTGACCGGTTGTACAGCACGTGTACATACTAAGGACAACCTAAGGACAACCCAACGGCCTTGTGTTTTATTCGGCTCTAGCTGATGTGATCAGCGTGCTAACACCGCAGGGTACTGTGATTTCACAAATTTTCGGTGTACTTTCATTTTCGGTACTTTCGGTGCGTCTGCTTCATACCTAAAATTTCAATACACCGAACAAACACTAACACACGTAAACCAATAGGGAACAGCTTCCCTGTACCGAACATTTCTGTTCACCTAACCTGGCCTTTTGCCCTCATACCGAAAATATTGAGCACCGAAAATTCCTGAAACTAGAGTATTCACAGCCTCGGTAGAAGATCATGTGACCAGCTTAAGATCATGTGACCAGCTTAAGATCATGTGACCAGCTTCTGCTAGTGAGCTATCACTGATCAGTACAGTCATGGCCAAAGAAATCTGACCCACGAGTCAAACCTAGTGTCGTGTTTCCATTTCAATGACATCATGCACGTTCCGAAAACCGACTGACGAGGGCCGCGGGGGCCGTATGAGACTTGGCCGCGGCTGCTTTTGGCACGTTGGTTGGATTTCTGTGGCCACGGCTGTAGATGTAAAATAGTATGTCTGTGTGTGGGTGGATGATTGGATGTGCGTGTGTGTATATTCATACGTGTGTGTGTCCATGTGCAAATCTTCCTGTTTGCTGTGTGAAGCTGTTACCTGCCCAGCCCCTCAAGCACCAGCAAATGGATCCAGTACAGCCACCGGGGAGGCACTAACCTTTGTCTACGCCCAGACAGTAGAGTTCTGGTGCAATCCAGGTTATACAGTAAATGGTTCAGCGTCAACTAGTTGCAAGGCAGATGGCAGCTGGACTAACCCGACTCCATATTGCCAAGGTGAGTTGATCTCTCTCTCTCTCCCTCTCTGTCTGTCTCTCTCTCTCTCTCTCTCTCTCTCTCTCTCTCTCTCTCTCTCTTTCTGCCTCTCTCTCTCTCTCTGCCTCTCTCTCTCTCTGCCTCTCTCGTTCTCTCTCTCTCTGCCTCTCTCGTTCTCTCTCTCTGCCCCTCTCTCTCTCTCTCTCTCTCTCTCTCTCTCTCTCTCTCTCTCTCTCTCTCTCTCTCTCTCTGCCTCTCTCTGCCTCTCTCTCTCTCTCTCTCTCTCTCTCTCTCTCTCTCTCTCTCTCTCTCTCTCTCTCTCTCTCTCTCTCTCTCTCTGTCTCTGCCTCTCTCGTTCTCTCTCTCTCTCTCTTTCTCTCTCTCTCTCTCTCTCTCTCTCTCTCTCTCTCTCTCTGCCTCTCTCGTTCTCTCTCTCTCTCTCTCTCTCTCTCTCTCTCTCTCTTTCTCTATGGTACTATTTGTGTAGTGCATGGCGTGACTTACATAACAGTGCTAGGCAACACGTGAACCATGTACACAGATCAATCAGCAGCTGCTTGTGCATAAAAGGACACGTTTTGGTGGAAGGGTTCGAGTGCGTCTTCATCTGTAAAAACGGTAGCTGTGACTGCAATATTTTCGTTTCAATTTTGGACATCCCTTCACGTGTCGTAGCTTCAAATGGACACGAGCGTTTCCCGAAAATGATGAGTTTGTTTTGTTTTTGACATGCACTGTCAGCCTTCTCGGTCCACCGGGAGACCTTTGCGGTCTGGAATCCTGTTATGTACCACCCATTGGTCAAACATCATCAAGTCATTATTGTTATTTGAAAAAAAGCCTTGGAAGAAGACCAGACTAAAATAGGAACAAGAAGCCCTTGTGCGCATGCGCAATACATAGATAGTGAAGTAGTGCAGAGTAGTAACATTACTACTACACAGAGAGACACCACAAATCCTTAGCGGTTCTCACATTGGGTGTGAAACAGCAAAAGGAAGCCGGCGCAACACTAGCCGTACAACTGTAGCAAAAAAGGTGATGAAATCGACTCCCATTGTAATCGTTTTCAGATGCAGATTGGCCTGTGCTCGCAAATCGCAAGGTAGAACTGGTGCTACCTGGTTTATGATACTAAGAAGAAGGACACAGTTCAGGCTCTTGAACAATACCTAGCCTGAACTGTGTCCTTCTTGAATGGACTCGGATGGAGAGCCAAGGATAAATTTATAGAAAAGAAATAGGACCAGATAGTTGTAGAACGTCGGTACCGTCGGTCAGTGCCGTGCAATGTTATCGCATGAGCTGATTGTTTAGTAACTGATGGTGTTAGTGGACATTATAGCATAACTTGTAGTTCCTTGGTCCTTTTTTCTTTTTTCTATAAGTGTGTTCTTCTTACTACTGTTCTTGCATTCTTGCCTCCGAGGAAACTGTCCTGGTTTATAATTATAGTGTTCATTTTGTTCTGTGTGACCACTATCCTACAGCTATCCAGGAAGGCAGTGTGGATAACGTTGGCAGCACATCCGAGCCGGTGGTTCTGATTGCGGCGAGTGTGAGTGTCGGCTCTGTGCTGCTCGCCATTCTGCTGTTCGTGACGCACCGCTGCACGCGAGCAAGGTGCTGGATGCCGTCGAGTAAGTTGCTCTGTGTTTAATAGGTGACATCAAGAGTAGATAAACAAGAGTGTGCAACTCCAGGATGGGTTGGCCCGTGGCGGAATTTTTTGTTGACGTAATCTCTTCTACGACGCTCGCGCTACGAGTCTTTTGGAAAGTTTTGCTTCGTGCACTTGGCCGGGCTTTACATTACAAGGTCGGTGCCCAGCACGTGCTCTCACACTGTTCTGCGGCAAAATGCGCGTTTTTCTGAAAAAAAGGTGACGTCAACAAAAAATTCCGCCGTGGGCAGGGGTATCTGCAGATTGTGCAGAAGAGATCCAGAGTTGCACACTCTTGTTTATCTACTCTTGGTGACATTGTGCTCCTAAAATTTGTCTTGTGTGCGTTAGGCGGAAGTAGCAGTATGCATTCTCCGGCAAAACAGTCAATAGTTCTACTGTTCGCGACGCACCGCTGCACGAGAGCAAGGTGCTGGATGCTGTCGAGTTAGTGTGTTGTTGGCCCGGCGGGTGCCCTACCAGGGGGGGGGGGGGGGGGGCAGTTACTCAGCGTTAGGTGAAATTGTGTTCCTAGGAGGTGCCATTTGTCGGTTAGACGGGAGTAGGAGTAGTATATCAATTCTCATGCGCAATAATCAACAGTCCATGCTGTACTGCTACTACCTTGTTTAAGCACAAATATTCGTCTGGAATTTAATTTCGTCTTTTTCGTCCGGGAAGTTTTTGGACTAAATTAAATGCCGGACTAATGTCGATTCGTCCAGCTTTTCTATACACTCTTATGATCCATGGACGAAATTTTCAACCGGACGAACTCCCTTTCTTTAGAGTTGGACGAAATTATTGACCGACGAAATTTTCTGCCTGTACAGTACCTTGGCCTAAAAGCTGTCTCATAATAATTATAAAAATCAAGCGAGGGTCCCTGGTTCGAGTCCTAGTGGTGACAGTCAATTATTTTTTCTCCAGACTTTTCACGCTTGCAACTTTCCCTCGGAATGATGAACAATTACAATAATGAAGAAAGGAAAAGGACGAAATGTTACGAGTTATGACAAACTTTGTCCTTTTCCTTTCTTCATCATAACAATATTGGCTCACCATCCGAGTTCAAATTACAATAATTACAGAAAAAGGAAAAAACTCGGGGTTCGTGTGAGACTCAGTCTAACCGAGTTTTCCGGCGTCCACAGGAACACCAGCATCCGCTAGGATCAAGGCACAGATGCAACTCCTAAAGCGGTGGGAAGTGAGCAGATCAGCCCACCAGCAAGGTGGTCAAAGACCGAGAATCCCATCCACTGCATCGATGTTTCCCCCGTGCCAAGCCACGAGTTCCCAATTAACTTTGGGTCGCACGTGGAAGCCTGTTTTGAACAAACCCTTTTTTCAAGATGGGTCATTATCAACTAAGGCTGGTTGTGCTCGTTGCGCTGTTGCCGTACAATGAAATACCTGGCTTGAATAGAAGCTTGGTTGAGATGGAAGCCAAGCGCTGACATTGGCTTCTGCAGGAATAAGCCCAGCCTTTCTTTGTATCAATCAAATTGTGAGCGGAACCATTCGGCTGATCTAGAATGCAAAAATCTCTCCTCCTCTTCTCCCCCGTGCGCTCTCAGACGATACGTTGCTACCCTCGGTAGCCACTGCACACACATGCCCAGAATGTCGCCTTTTGGCTTTCCACCAAGGAGGAAGTGCTACGTCTGTGCCTCAGTCCCATCCTCATAGCTATGGCTGCATGTGTGCTGGCGTGCACTCTCGTGTGTGCATGTGCATGTGCATTTGTGTTTGCTTCGGTTTGCTTGTATGTGTCCGTGCGTGCTTGTTCTCGTTGCAGACCGCACCAAGCTGAAGGGCAACTCTGAGCACAGAGCACTGCATAACCTTGTCAACAGCAGCCAGCCGAGGCGGAAGCGCCAGAACACCGTTACGTCTCTGAACACGATAATGGACAACTGTGACGTCAAGGGCAAGGGCAACTGCACCGACCCCAGCTGCTATGTCAACCAGGAGGGCATGCCGCACACCATGTCGACGTGTGACAATGAGATGGGCCGGTATATGGGCGATGTGACCGCTCCGCAGAGCCTGGTGTTGCTGCCAGGGGCCGTCTCCGGCACCGAGCGGAGCGTGGACAGTGGCGTCAGTGACATGCTGAGCTTTCGACGAAGGACGTCGTCCGACGCCGATGCAGCGGCTCTCGGATCGTTGACGCACAGCGCCACCCAGCATGCTCACTACCATAACTCCTCGGCGGTGCCGAGCGGCGGCGGTGCCAACGACTCCCCGGGGGCTTCGACGCCATCGCACAAGGCGTATCAGAGTAATGCGATTGGTACACCACCGCAGCAGCAGCAGCAGCGCAACACCCAGTCGAAGTCAGCTAACGACCGTCGTGCTCAGAACCAGGCAGCGCCGGGCCGATCGCGCACGGACACGTTTGCGCCGGTGAACAACGAGAGAGGACGCTCGCGCACCTGCGGGCCCATTCTTACGGAGAACATCGAATCGCCGGAGCAGCAACGGGGTAGACTAGGCTCGGTTTATCACACACTGATTGGGCCCAATCATGAAGGTGAGCCCTTTCTTTCCTTTTTTTTCTTCTTTTCATTGTGTTTTTCTCCTTCTTTTCTCGGTTTTCCGCACCATAGCTGGTTGAAATCGCCCGCATCACATGTTTATTGACATCAAGTGATTGAACTAGTGAAGTAGGCTTCTCCCCCTGGCCCCCGCCACACAACAACGCAAACTCTTGATTGTATCTTCAATACTTATATTATACCAAGAAATGACGAGGGCGCAGGAGGAGAGAGACAAACTTGGAGACGACAAAAAGGACAACGGGAAGACTCCCGGGAAAAGACTCAAAGAAAACAACAAAGAACAAGCAGTAATATTGCGACGACAAATCGGGACGACCAATCAGGGACTAATACGTACAGAACACATGACCAAGACCAAGACAACCAGACCACGGACGAATCACACATGACTCTCATTCCCAGACCAAACTAGCACTGCGCATGTACAGCATTCACTTGACAGTCACTCTCACACAGACGGAAGCACATCCTCACACTCTGACAACGTGTACTCTTGCATGCACCACATACCATAAACGTCACACATCACACCATACTCGCGCGTACACCTAGACCAAATATGACATCAGACACTGGACTCCACAAGACAAGAACCAAATACAACAACATGCGTAAATCATAGTCGTAATGCAAATTCGCAACATGTGGAATAATAATAAAAAACCAAAAAAACATCGCCAGTGAGACTGGCGCCATGCGCTCACAAACTCTACTACAGTCAGACATCGCTTATCCGGTCCTCTTTTATTCGGATCCCTCGCCATCCGGAAGAAAATCGCTGGTTACCGGTTTACATGATGTGCCATGCATACATCCAGTATGTGTATTTGATTATCCGGTTCCCTCGCCTATCCGGATGTGTTTGTCGAAAACGGATGTGTGCGGTTAAGCGAGGTCGGACTGCAGTACTCACAAGCAAGAGTACAGAGTACAGTGTACTCGCGATAAGTCACGCACAGTGTCCTGGAATAGAAAATGCGCGACTTACCGCGAGTGCGCGACTTACGTTATGCACCACGTCATGCACATGTACAGCCGTCATTTTTTCTTCTGCATATGGACATGTGTGCTGAACACGCGTACAAGCACTGAGCTGCATGCGCACAAGAGTATGTACTCTTGTGCGCATGCAGCTCAGTGTTGTACGTGGTGCGTAATGTAAGTCGCGAGTAGACTGTACCGGTATAGTACTCGTCTCGTACTTCCTCTTCAAATCTCAAATCAGCAGAACTCACTGCATGTTGGTGTTTTTTTGAGTTTGCTTTCGTTGTTGCTAGTGAGGTATATTTTGCTTCGAAGGGAGAAGTTTGTGACTGACAAACTTGGATTGTCGTGGGTGATCCTGAGGGAGAAGGCTCTCATACAATATGCACATAATAATTATATTCTTACCTTTACAGCATTCAAGCTCCATCATTGAAAACCACATCATTTGCAAATATTCACGAAATCCACGAAATCCACAAAATCCCGAAAAATAAAAAAATTCTTGAGATGGATGGGTGTCCTGGATGAAAAAGTGCGTGACTTATCACGAGTGCGTGACTTAAAAGTGCGTGACTTATCGCGAGTAGACTGTACATAGTCCCGAGAGTGTGCAACTGCCTGCACAGCCTCTATCCAGTGCTGCGACGGCGGCAGAACTTCACACCACGTGACATGGTTCAATAGGTCACGCTGGCAAGCAGTGCAGAGTGATCCGCGCAAGAGAGTTGAACCCAAAGCAGGGTTGCGTACAACTTTGCACACGTATCAAGGCAAATGATGTGTACAGGTTTATCAGGTGATGTGAAGCTCTGCCATTGCAGACCTCATACTAGACTGGAGTTGCACACTCTTAGCATGCACCTCCCCCCAACAAACAAAATTCGACCTACCGGTAGGCTCAGCTTGCATATAATGACCATGAATGACATAAACCAGCCATCCTAAACATATGCAGCCTTGCACACACACCCACACACACGCGCACACACACACACACACACACACACACACACACCTAAAAGGAGACCAGTGCACCCCTCCTTGGGGTAACTACAAATGTTCGGTACTTTCGGTGCATTTGTTTCATGCCTAAAATTTCAATACACCGAACAAGCACCTACACACATAATCCGATAGGGAACTGCTTCTCTGTACCTAAAATTTCTGTTCACCTAACCTGGCACTTTGCCCTCATACTGAAAATACAGTCGACCTACCCTTATAACGATAACCTCTATAACGATATTACCCTTATAACGAAATTTTTCTGCCAAACCAAAATCACTTCATTGACTTGTGTATACAATGCCTTACCTCTATAACAATATTGCTATAACGATATTATCCCTATAAGGATATAAAATGGGCTGACCAATCAACATTTTCCATTTTATAACAATATCTAGCAAGGAATATGTAGAGCCTACTATCCAGGTAGGGCAAGCTTCACTTGATAAGTTGCTGGGAAATGACGAAATGCAATGGGGGCACCAGTGGGCACCTTGCTGTGTACATGATGTGCATGTGCGTCAGTTTTTTATGCTATGGAGAGTGTAACAAATGAATAAAACCCATGTATTATGACGTACATGTATGTGTATGAAGTGAACCAGTTACCCCTATAACAATATTACCCTTATAACAATATTTCTTGGTCTGACGCAAATATCGTTATAAGGGTAGGTCGACTGTATTGAGCACCGAAAATTTCTGAAATTAGAGTACAGTATTATACTTTTGCCGCAAAGGATCCACTGTCCTTCAAGCAGATTTACACCCCGCACCGTATTTGGCACAGTCACTTCTGACATGTTTAGCCCTGATTTTCGAGTCGACGTGATTCTGTCTTTCTTGTCCTTGAACTGCTTCCCGTGGGTGAATGATGATGATGATACCTACTGTGTGCACATGTGTGTGTGTGTGTGTGTCTCTGTGTGCGCATCTGTGTATATCCACACTCATTCCTCAGAAACTGTCGACTCTGAAGAGAGCGCCGACTGCTACCAGGAGTTGAGTCAAGTTGCCGCAGCGCTCAGTGACGTCAAACTGAGGAAGGCAGCGCGCTCTACACCGCGCTCTACACCGCGCGGCAGTCCCAGTGTTCTGCGGAGCATGACGCAGCGTACGGAGTGCGACGTCGAGAAGCCACTGGTCCGGCCGCGAGTCAAGAGCTTCACGTTCATGCCAAACCAGAGTGTGGACTCGCCGTCGTCGCTGCGAAGCAGCAACATGGCCACCATCCACTGCTGTGAACACAAACCCCACCAGGATGGCGACATCTACGACAACGACACTGGGGGCGAGTACGAGGCCTTCGACAGAACCGACTTGCCCACGAGTCGCCGGCCAAGCACTGCCGAGCCGCTGCCACCTCTACCGTCGATGTGCCCCGCCAGCGCTGCGCTCAACAAGAACATTGCCATGACGCTGAACGACCACTGGCCGAGCAGCGCCACCAGCGATTCCCCGCCTGTCTGCCGCGCACAGCTGCAGCTCAACGGCGACGACATGTCAGAGCTGTACCTGACGGCCAACGATATCATCGCCAGGAACAGTATCACCACCGACGATCGCCCTGTGAGCCCGACTACTATCCACACGAGTGCGGAGGCGAGTGCGAGTGCGAGTAGGCACGCAATCAGCGGCGTTCCCGACGTGCAGCCCGCTTCATCTCTCCCTCGGCAAGCGCCGATCCTCTACGACGAAACGACGTGCGGTAAAGGTACAACCGAGGACAGCACGCTGGGACGCCTGCCGGTCTTCACGGGGGCAGATACCTGTCCGTTGTGCTCGGGGCTAGTGAACGAGCAAGGGAGGTGCGCGGGCGAGTGTGATGTATTGTACGGTAGTGTTAGCTCCCTGGCACATCAGCTTAGGGCCAGTGAGTTTAATGCCGCTGCTGTTGCTGCTGATGCAGACGAAGTGTATGACCTGGCACATGATGCCTAGCAGCTGTGGTCGTGATGCCGCCGACAATCACTCTCAACCGGGGGGCCGGTGGCTCTGGTTCATTGCCAGTGCTACCTGCTCTTCCCTGGCAATGGACGGCTGGCATGTCGCAAGTCATAGTTCTGTAGTTCTGAAGGCAGCGAGCCACTTGTCAGTGTTCACGACAACGAAGGATTCGAAATGAAACAGGCAATCACGGATGTGTGTATCCACTTCCACACGCTGGAATGACTGTCACCCATGCCAGTGCGCCTATAACCACCTGTGCTACCGAACACGGCAAGCCGCCAGTCGGACTGTGCAGAAGCGAGATGCTGACCGGCGGCCATGCTGCTCGGCAGCACCGGGCCAGCATACGGTCACACGGGGAGGCCTTGCAGAATTCGACTTGCTGCTGCTGCTGCTGCTGCAGGCGTTAGCGCATGACCAGCATTCCAACACCACCAGTTGACACGCAGGACCATTGCCGTTATCAGGCTTCTCGATTTATTTCGCGGCCATCGTGTCGCTTTCACTTTTTCGTTTGTACTGACGACCTGATATGACGTAACTCTGGACATTTCCTCAGACACTCAACCTTAACTAAGACCATATCCGTCCTACGGGTCAAGTGTGTGTTAACCTAATGGCGTCCTGTAGAACTACCGCTGAAGGTCACGCCAACGGATAACGCACTCAGCGCAGCCTCTCTACGGCAGCATCCACGACACATGCTGCCGTCAAACTCCATTCACTGCCGGTGCATCCTATTCAGAACTTAATCTTCCATAAATGCTGCGTCTCGATCACCATCACACACTATGGTCTCTGACACATTTTAAAATTGCCTTCCGCCAACACGTTGATCTAGAATTGATAATTTCATCTTTGTGCTATCGTCACCGTTACCTTTTTGACTAGCCATTTCTTTCTTCTTTTTTCTCTCTCTCTCTACTTCTTGTGTCCGAGTTTACTGCACCAAGTGCTCTGTTTTCAATGGATACCTCCCGTCCCCTTCTCCACACCGACACGTCCGAGTCAGTGGCAATAGCTCTTCCCTGGAGGGGGTGCTGGTGTCTGAGACTGTGACTTCTGTTTCTTTGGCGTCCTGTTGTGTTGAAGCCATTGCCAAGTGAAGCTGTTGCTCCTGTCATGTATGAAAATACATGCACAGCGCGATCGGTGGAAACACTAGCAGAGCGTGTGTAGAGCATGACCTCGTTCAAAATCTCGCGTTTTCTAGTTTCATCGATTGAACGAAAAATAAATGAGTTCTTCTATAAAACGAACACAGCTGTACAAACAGTACGGGGGGGGGGGGGGGTCGCAACTGCTCCAGAGCTACAAGCAAGCGCTAAACAAAAGATCCTACAGCAGTGTTACCAACTGCCCGTATTGTGTTACCAACTGCCCTCCAGTATCGCTTCCCTTCAAATCTCTTCTCTGTTCCTATAAATTAAGTATAATTTTATACTTTTTTTTAAAGTACAAATACATGTCAAATATAGAGGAGTTTTTCTGAAGGGGTGTAGAGTTTTTCTGAAGGGGGTGTAGAGTTTTTCTGAAGGGGTGGCGAAAAAAAGGAGTCTTCTCGAAACTGCAAAGCCTCTTCCAAGTACTTCAAGAAGTACAGTGTACTGAGTGACTAGTTTCACGTCCATGTATGGACTCGTACGGCGGTAGCTAGTGGCCATGAGTAAATTGTCGGCAGCGCCGCTGGTCTAATGGCCAGCATAGTTGCCTTCCAAGCAGTTGATCCGGGTTCGTCACATTCTGTTCGCCCGTAAAAAACTATTATCCTCACAGGGACCCTGGATCTCATGCCTCTCCTCCACCCTTCCTGTCCCCCTTTCCTTCTCATTTTCACGCTCAGTCCTTCTCTCCTTCCCTCTCCTTGTACCGCTACCTCTTACTCGCT